ATTGGTAACGATGCATATATCGCTTCAGTGCCTTTTGCACACTCTTCCTTATCACTTTCAAGTCATCTCCACATGATTCAAGATACTACGACTCCCTATATACTTCAAGTCATTATCACATCTAAAAGGCCCGTCATTCTCTACAATCTTGAAACATCAATCCTCTTTCCAAAACACAACATTTACTACAGATTGGACTCTTGATCATCATTATGTGTACGACTCGGCCCTTCCTCCTCTGGTCTCACTTGTATATGATTCGTTCCACTCTCATCCAACGATATTCTTGCACTCTCTTCAGGTACCAAACCCAATATTTTCAACACCAAAGAAACCTACATATCCCCATATTGGAATATATCTCTACCTACAAAACAACGAACCCCTTACCGGTGAATATTTACCCGCCAACGGCGACATGAGAAACAACAAAAACAACTTCCAAAAACGCAACAACTTTTCCGCCACTCGTATCACAGGTTGAAATACACTGCTCTTCGGTGCTACGAAACGAAACATTTCCTATCTCACGTAAATAATTCCTCAATCATATCAAACACACTTACTTGTTTCAACAATCCCAGTATTTGTACCAAACCAAAAATGCTGTCAAATACGAGGTGTAGGTTTCGCATGGTTTCTTCCATCAAACCCGAGAATCTGGCGAATACTTGCATAGCATTTTGTACTGAAGCCAACATATTTTGGCCTGGAGAAATAAAGTTCTGAACGAGTGGGTTGTTGAAGCCTAGCAAGTTGGTGGTGCCAGGAAAGCCACCTCCCCATGGGGAACCGTACATCATGTTGTTGTTTCCTATTCCACCATTCCCATAATAGTAAGGACCAAAACCCGAGGAATAGGGATAAGTGTTGCCTCCGTAACCTGATAATGGGTTACCCCATCTGGAGGAAAACCAAGAACCAAGACCACTGTTGTTGTTGTTGTTGTTGTAGCCAAAAGGAGTTGCTTCCGGTAAGTAAGTACTTTGGGGTCTATTCCATTCTTGGTTTCCATTTACAGGAGGAACATTGGTTGTTCCCTCATTTCTAGGAAATATTTCAGGTACTTGCTGTTGAGTTTCTCTCAAGTTGTCCATTGTTCTACGTATGCAACGTCATCCTCTCTCATCGAAAACAAAAGATGATGAATTTGGACGACTTCACATCGCATTTATCGACTATACTACATTATACAACAAAAACATATTTTACAAAAAAGGATCACATTTCTACACTGCACAAACACACACACATATATATATCTATGCTTTACTACTCGATGCTTCGAACGAAGTTTTGATCGTTTCTTGTTCATTCTCACAAGTACGAACTGGGTTATCATCCACTTGCTCTCTAGTTTCCTTTTCTTCAGGTGATACAAAACAACGGCGGAAAATAGGCCACTTGCTCAAATGTGCTTTGGTTTCGCTTAGATTCTTCTTCGCAATAGTATACAATGGATATTGAAACAGTTGTTGAATAGCTTCCATTTCGACACCTTTGGTTTCTGGAACAAACAAATAGATGAACAAAGTAGACAACAACGTAAAACCAGCAAAGAAACTAAAAGCTCCTTGTGCATGCATCGACCTGAGCATCGTCGGCCACGAAAACGAGACAACAAAGTTCAACATATAACTAACAAACGAATTCATCGTTAAGCATTGGGAACGAATATACCACGGATAGATTTCCGCTACAATCACCCAAGGAACGGGACCCAATCCAGGTCCATAAAAGAAACGAAACAATAGAGTACCCGAAATGTTCAATGCTTCACGAATATGGGTACCTCCGAAAAAGGAAAAGCCGCATATCCAAAGCATGATGGATAGAAATGGCATCGTACTCAATAAAAGAAATCTTCTTCCCACTCGGTCAATGAGCCAAAATGTAGGGAATGTAAACAACACAGTAGCAAAACCCAATGCAACGCTCACATCGATACTTCTGGAAGCCGTCATCCCAGCAAGTTGTAAAACATAGTCGAAATAGAACATCACTGCATTGACACCACAAAATTGTTGAGCAATTTGCAACGCAATTCCCAACATGATAGGACGACGAGCACTTGGCTTTTCATAAAAAGTGCGAAAGAAACCGGGTTGTATTTTCATTGTCTCTCTTTCCTTCTCCAAGAACTGGCGCATAGCATCGAAATCTTGTACAGCTACTTGTTCCGAAGACCTCAACTGAGTTAACGAATTCCATGCTGCATTTTCACGACCTTTTGCTAATAACCATCTCGGTGACTCTGCAGCAAAGAACAGTCCCAAAGTTACCAGTGCTGCAGGCACAATGACAGAAGCAAGCATAAAGCGCCAACCGTGTTCGACATGTACAAATATGACATCAACGATAAGACCAATAAAATATCCAAATGCATATGCTAATTGATAGACTGAGGTGAATACTCCTCTGATATCCGTCGGTGCACACTCTGCTAGATACATTGGAATAGTGCTAGTCATAATACCAAAACATATTCCAAGAATCAGCCTTCCCAATAAAAGTATTCCCCATATATTTGAGAATCCTTCAATCAAACCGGCAGCAATGGCATCTATACCACCAAAGAACATGGCGCCCTTTCTGCCGACGTACTTATTCAGTATAGTTGACCTACAAAAAGAATATAGTAAGTGGAGACCTTCATTTTATCTCTTTACTTGCTTACAAAACAGCGCCAACGAGTGCTCCTAACAAAGTGGCCGCAATGGTAAGGCCTTGAAGAGAAGTATCCAGGTTGAATCGAGTGATAAAAAATAACTGTGCTCCGCTAACCAGAGCAGTATCTATTCCAACCACGCTTCCTCCTAAGGTACATACTACTAATAAGACATATAGCTTGGGTGGTAACCCCATCACTTTCTTCATAAAGGAAATCATATGGACAACTACGAAAACGTTCTCTCTTCATTTCTGTTGTTCTTATCGATTCTTCCGATGAGCGTATTCAGTAGGCTGTCTATTGGACAAATTGTCCCTGGTTCAAAGGACGGTCCTTCCTTTTCTTGAAAAAGAGGGAAACAACTTCTATATCATCTTACCTATATGAAATCGGGTTATTTATTGTGAAAGGAATATTCACTAGTATTGGATATAGTCTAAAACGAGAAGAGACTCACTCCATGAAGCAAAGATAATGATCTTCCCTTCTCATCATCATCATCATCATCATTATGGACCGTTTTATTTCTTTATGAGCTGTCTTTTCCTGTGGGGAAGAGCCGAGAGAGAGTTGTGTTGAGAGAATGAGCTTTCGTACTTGTCACAATTGGTTTCCTTTATGTTTATTGCTGAAAGAAACAAATAACGATATTAGTGGGGAGGGTATATACTCTTCCAGGAGTGAGTTATTCCAACAACCACTAGCCAAGGAGACTCAACGCTGGTCAACCGGTCCTTCTTTCGTCAAGCACTATGGACGTTTGAAACGACACTCTTTACCTGCCGTTCATTTCTTCGATAACTCGCAAAGTTTTCTACAAAACTTACAGCCCAACGAAACGTTTCCTGAAACCACAACTTTGGATTGGAAAGAACTTGAGAATGCAACCCGTCTTTTAAACGATTTCATGGAAAGTGCTTCGGAAGATGGTGACTCTTTATTTGATGATGAGTTTCCTACTATGCATGCAAAGACAAAGTTACAAGATGGGTTATCTACGCACCCACAAAGTCCACCTTCAGATATTACGCAGTCAGTTCTCTCCAATACCCAGAGTCCCGTTCCCAGTATGTTGAGCGAAACCGAGTTACCAGACTTTGGAGAAGACTTTGTCAACGCGAATGAAGAACTAGTAAGTTAGTCTATCTTATTTATCTATAAGAATTCAAAGACTGGTGTAGTGGAGTTCAGATGATTGGAAGTATTTTCAAGTAGAAGAGTTGTTGTTACAGTCTTGGAGACGCTGCTTAAGACTGCACAATGAACGTTTTGCCTATGATTGGACCACTGACTATGACAACGATAGATGGAAGTTGATTGATGTTCGTCAAGTTGTTATCGACTAGAGTGCCTTTTGGTAATATATATATATATATATATTGGGAGTGAATGATAAGAGTGGATATAGAGGCAACAACTCTTCAAAGCGTATTATTGATCTTCATAGCAACGGATGCTTTTTTCCAAGTATTAGGAAATCTCCTTGGTTTTGAATAGTTTTTCTCTTCATTCCTTTTTTTCTTGTTTTAAAAGCCAATTGTATCATACTAACAGTAACAGGAATCCTGAGTTGTTTAGAAAACATATTTGCTCGCTCTCTTTCTCTGTTTTTATCCAACTCTAGATAGTCTTCTATTTCTCTAGTAGAGAAGATCGTGGTCAGGAGTCGCTTGAATGACTCTATAGATGATAACCAAGCGATGAATAATAGCCTTTGAAAATACATCTCTATACAAGGATTCTCGTTCCTAAACTCAAATACATAATTGTGAGCATTCCAAAAGTAGTATTGGAAGATACCCATGCAGCAGTTATTAAAATTCGATAAAGAATGGATGAAGAAAGCCACGATCAACGCTATTTCAATGCTTGAACGATGATACCACGTTTTTTTCTTTTTCGGCTTGAAAACCATCTTTGAAAAGCTATCGATAGCACTATGTCTTCTCACTTAATAATATCTGGACCGTTTTTATCTGGTTTATTTACTCGATATTGGCCGCATCTCGAAAAGTTGAATGATTGCTGCTCAAGGTTACCGGACTTTGTCATACAATTGTATTGTCCCAAATATGCATAACCCACCAATGGAGATGTCAAAGGTGCTTTGAAAATCTCTCACATCTTCCATTTCATAAAATAACAAATGACCTGCAAATACAATGTCCGTCAGTTCCTGCAATCAATCCCCTGTTGACAATCGTCCCAACACTTAGCTTAGGAACTTCATACAACTGAAAATCACAATCCAAGGGACACAACATGAAGACTTCTTCCTTGACCAATGAATGAAGAAGAAGACAACGATTGATATTACAAATCAAATTTTTACACAAACATTATGATCGGCAAAGTGTCTCAGCATAGTGACATCATCGGTAAGAATGCCAAAGAAGTAAGTATACATAAGGGTTTCATGAATATATTGACCTGTTTTTGACCAAAGAATTTGTAACACATGATGTTGTGATTTCATATATACGAGGATATTTCATAGGAAGAATTCATTTATAGAAGCCTCTTACTGCAATTATGAATTCTACAAGGAACAGAAGCTAGCTACCTGTATCCATTCCAAAGATACAAAAGCGGATGTCAAAGCTAGTATTCCTACTCCAATGAGATTAGAAAGAACTCATAATACAATGAGTTCGAGTTTTCTGAACTTGAAACTAGCACCATTTTGACCATTCCTTTTTCTTCTTGTGTCATTTCAAGTCCTGATGCTCTCATAAATAATCAAAGGACTTTAGAGAGCTAATTCCACCCAGTATTTGTATTAGGGATCTTCCTTTCTTCCAACTAAACCCACTTCCCAACTTGTCTATAATTGTATGATGTCAATATGTAGGAGATCTCCTAGGAGATCGGGCATATAGAAGAAAAGAGTGTGCGATCCAACAACAATGGAAGGGATACATCGTTCCTAAAATGATCTCCCTATTTTCTACGCAAATCCGATTGTCCCTCTTTGGGAGATACAAATTCGGTGGTGGATCACGAAGAAATTCTGAATGACATAGCAAGCCGAAAGTTGTGTCCCTGGATCGCAATTAATATTTTGCATTTCCACGACGATGGAAGTTCATTATCCTGCCTCCGAAGAGGTTGTAAAATCTCCCAGACGGTCTGCATGGAAGTTGCATCATACATCACATGAGATAGAACAAAGTCCCTCTAAGAAGGAATTGGGGTATAAGAATTTCGACTGGAAGGAATCTGTCGATTATGATGAGAACAACAGCAAAAAAGAAACAGTTTCTCAAGACCAAGGAACCACTTCTTTATTAAAATTCTTTCTGTTCGTAGCATGTGTGGGTTCCAGTATGTTTGGAATGGATCAAGCATTGTTGTCTTCCGTGGCTCTGTTTGCTCCCGAAGCATTGCATCTAACATCCAATGAATGGTCTTGGATATCCTCGGGGGCTACTTTGGGTGCTACTTTTGGAGCTATTGCGTAAGCAACCATTCCCTTCATCTTGGACTATTTTTTCATCAATACAAATATTTGTTAGGGCAGTGCCATTTAATTGGCTCATTGGAAGGAAAAAAGTTCTGATGTTATCTTCACTCTTATATATTGCTGGAGTCGTTATGGCTACTGCTGCAGAGAACTTTATTGTGCTCTTATTGGGAAGAGTTATTATGGGAGTTGGAATGGGTACAGAGGCAATGACCATACCCATTTATATATCCGAAGTAGCTCCTAAATCTCACCGTGGTGCTCATTTGAATATTTTCAATTCATTATAAAACTTGGGAGTTCTTATGGGTGATGTGGTCGATGCCATATTTATCCATGTTCATCCAGGTTCATGGAGATATATGATTGGTTCTGGTGCCATTGGGCCTATTCTTCAACTCGTTTGTGTATTCTTTTTTCCGGAGAGTCCCAGGTGGTTACTCAAAAATGGTAGGAGGGAAGACGCTCAAAAGGCATTTTCAAGTTTCCGCCGACCTACTCCCATTTCAGAACAAGAATACAATGAAATGGTCGAACGAGTAGAACAGGAACTACGTGAAAGTAGCTCTTCAGGAATCGTATGGAAGGATATATTTACCAATCCAAGAGTTCGGGCTACTTTCATGATTGGCCTTCTCGTCTCACTGGCCCAACAATGGAACGGGGCAACGGCATTGGGATATTATGAACCTACGATATTCACGGAATTGGGACTTGATACTTTTCAAGCGGTATATGTGACTGTACCCATCGGTTTCTGGATGTTGTTATGGACCATACCTCCATATTTTCTATTGGACAAACTGGGAAGAAGAAAAACATTGTTATTCACTTTCCCCATATTCATCATCGGTTTGATCATTTCAGGAACAACAATACTTCAACACTCTCCAAAGAAAAAAGCTATCGGATTCTTTGTTGGATTAGCTTTGTACTATATCGGATATGAACAAGGAATTTCTCCTCTGGCTTGGGCTCTTAACGGAGAAATCTATGAACTCCACGTTAGAAACATTGGAATGGCTTGGGGTGCTTCTACACTGTTGGGTTCCGCTTTTGTTTCTACTTACACTTTCTCCAGACAAGTGGCCGCACTGAGCTTGCCTGGTGTGTTTGGTTTGTACGCAGCACTATCTACCATTTTCTGGATATTGCTGTTTTTCTTTCTGCCTGAAACAGGAAATGTCTCTCTAGAAGGTGTGAGAGATCGGTTTGAAGGAGGACTCACATCCATTGCCAAACGCAATTGGAAAAACATTCAATCCAAGAAGAAGGACTCCAGTTTGATATTGCCTGGGTTTCAGAAATGAGTTTCTTTTCAATGTAGTAGAGTAGTAAGGTAGCTGCTTGATAAAATGAGTGATTGTGTTTTGTGTCCAAATCTCTCCGTTGCAAGTCACTTATCACGAGTATAATTACGATACCGATTCCTCGAAAATAGATAGGAAAAATCTACCTAGTCCAGTTGCAAATGACTCGGAAATCCAATAAAAGCAGGGAATTTTGCGTTTCGCAGCTTTTCACTGCTTCAATTTTCGCAATAACACAGTAATTAATTGCAAATTGCATGGGTAATAAACAGATATTAGTAAGCAGACCAATGACAAGTCAGTTTTGTTCTTTAAGCATACAAGCTGTTCTCTCAACACAATTGCTTAAAAAACTAGATGCTTCAAGCATGTTCGTAAATAACAAGTGAATTAATGTTCTCATGTTAAAGACTGCTACTATCACTTGCAGCCTTCAAAGTTTAAAATGAGCAAGACTAATCAAAAGTTAACGAGAATACTTAAAAATTCTTTAAAAATTATTCATGAATCTTCTGTAACAAGAGACGCAAAGCTTAGAATTCGAAAGAAAATAACATCAAAAATTTACATATTTGTCTCACTAAACAAAGTTGCAAGCCAGCCCCAAAAAACAATTAAAATTCAAAGCAATTCGTCAACCAATTATATTTCACAGCAAGTTGCAGTTTTAAAAAAACAAATTGCTCCATCTTACAAAGTAGTAAAAGAGTCAGTTATATCAATCTAAAAAGTTTTTTTAACAACAAATTAAAAATTTCAATTAAAAGCAACAAATAAAGCTCAGAGAGATATTAACAAGAATCAAATTAAATTCCGGTGGCATAAAATTATAATTCTATTCAAAAAAATTTAACTCTCTTCCGAACTGTAAGAAATTTTGAGTTTCATTTAAACGCTAGCTCTGATTTAATTTGGAAGCAATCGTTTTAATGTTATGGTGCCAGTATTTTTTAAATAGTCATGGACTTTAGCAAAACCATCAACTTGGTGCATCCTAGAATCGCTAAATAAGAATTAATTTTTTCTGCAAAATTTAGGAGTTCCTGTGAAGTTTTTTTGAATTTGAGTATGACAATCTTATCGAAAAATTTTTTCATTTAAAAAGTCCAAGTCAAACTTCGAGTCGTTGATTGCATTTTTTTCAGATTGTAAACTTTGTCGGATTTAAATCAAAGAAAAAGTTAGCATTTGTTAACCAAGTAAAGTCACTTGCATTATGATAGTCAATAATGGCACAAATTTGATTGCACATTATTGGTTACATGGTTATTAATATTTCCTCACATTTATTCATAGTAAAGATATGTCCTTTATCTATTTTTCCACTTCGAGATGCAGGGGAATGCTTCTTCTAGGTTGCGCACTACAAGCAATACTTCTTTTCTTTGGCAATATTCTACAATGTATTATACTCACAGGGAGGTACGTCTTTTTTCAGTTGCTCCGTTTATAAAATTCTAAGAGAAAAACATGCTTCAACCCAACTTTTGGATCAAAAAGAGTTTGGATGCGAATGAAATTGTCGTCTTTGAGTGTTCTTTACCTTCTCCTAAACCCTCATTCTCTATTTGGTCACTGTAAGATATTCTATGGCAATCTTTGTATTTCTTTTTCAGCTCTGATAATAAAGCAAACCAATTTTCTCGTAGTTGCAATCTTAGTCTCATACTTAAACGTTTCGATTTATCGAATTCTTTTTTCACGACAATGTTTCTTAATGACAGAGGGGTTTGTAAGTTAATAATACTTGGAAAAGTCTCCTCAATATGCAAGTTCTTTACAACGCCAAATTGTTCGTTCAGTCTAATGCCCTATACTCCTTTCTCTAATCTACAACAAAGTCTTCTTTAAGGGTGCAACTCAGTTGCTGTTCACATTTCACTACAAAACGAACAGCTAGTCAGCAACCCATCCCTTCCTCTCGAACATTTCTTTCCAATAGAATTTCGATTATCAAGGCTGTGAATTCCGTTTTTGGGTTGTGCAGCACGTCGGACTTGTGAATCCTTTGTTGTGTTCCTTCGAAAACTTTCGGTTATATGGAACGTCTGCTTAACTTCAACATATCCGACGACGAGTTCCTTCCCCTCCTTGAACAAACGGTTTCTTTACTGTATAGTTCAGTCGATTCGTCACAGGTGAGGTTTCAACAACGTTATATTGTACATACCCACTGATCACTTGTTTCTATAAAGAGAAACGCAGCTCAAAGCACGTTAACCCAACTCAAAGAACATCCCGACTCTTGGATTCGTGTTGATAAAATACTTGACCGCTCTAACGACCCCAACGTCAAGTTTTTTGCCCTTCAAATCCTGGAGAACCTAATCAAGTAAGAATAACCCTAGTATGCTATTTTGTTCGATTGAATAGCTGTAAGGTACCGTTGGAAGACGCTTCCACGTGGGACTTGCGAAGCTATTAGGAATTATATTGTTAACAAAGTAAGTTACTTTCAGTGTTTATGTTTTCCCCTTTTATCCTTGTCATTAAGGTCATCGAACTTTCCAGTTCTGACGAATATCTTTCAAGAGAGAAGGTTTATATTGGCAAGTTGGACCTTATTCTTGTTCAAGTTGTGAAACAGGTAAGATAATTTTCCTTCGAAAAGTTAAAACCTCAACTTTTCAAAGGAGTGGCCAGCAAATTGGCGCAGCTTTGTGAGTGACATTGTTGGAGCGTCTAAGAGTAGCATGTCTCTTTGCGAGAACAATTTATATATTCTTCAGTTACTATCGGAAGAAGTTTTTGATTTTTCACGGGGTGAGATGACTCAGAACAAAGTCCTAGAGTTGAAGAATCAGTTCAATGCAGAATTTTTGAGTGTTTATCAACTTTGTCAGTTGGTATTTGACCAAGTAAGTATTTCTTGCTTTTATTTCGCCGTTTCGTTTATATTATGGGTAGGCCGCAGAACTCCAAAGAAGTCGTCCGTCTTTGATCAGTACTGCTTTGAAGACATTTGAACGTTTTCTAAGTTGGATTCCTCTTGGTTATGTGTTTGAGACTCAAGTCATTGAAAGTCTTTTGTCATTTTTTGGACAAAGTCGTTTTCGTAATGAAGCTTTGAGATGTCTCGTTGAGGTTTGTTGGGATATTATGTGAAAATGTGAAGGATTGATTGGTATTAGGTGGCCACAATTCAAGTGGAAGCTTATCATGACAAGCTGCGTTTCTTATTTGTAACATTCATGGAGGAACTCTGTCGTATTATTCCACCTGAGACGGTACTTTAAATGATTTGAAACTTTGCCAGTGAATAATATTATGTTGTAGGACATTGCTTCATTAGTGGATAAAAGTGGCGAAATTTCTATGGAGTTTATTTCTAATCTTGCTTTATTCTTTTCGGAATTTTTCAAGTCGCATGTACGCCTATTGGAAGATAATGGTTCGAATGGTGTAAGTAATGAGTTTTGCCGTATTACATATTATTATTTACTTTGATAGCTTGCTCTTCTGCTCGGCATGGAATACTTGGTAAAGATTAGTATGGTTCCTGACACGGAAGTGTTCAAGATTTGTTTGGAATGGTGGAGAAAACTGGCTTCTGAGATTTATAACGCACAATATCCGATTGTAAGATGAAGAAGAGTTGTAGGCGTATAGGATTGATTTGTGTTTCATTAGGAGAAAGGGACCAGTTCTATAGTCTTACTTTTTAATAATAGACAAGTAGCGAATGAGCGACTACAATTTTATGCTCCTATTTTTTCATCCATTAGAAGAGTAAGTTGCGACTGAAATGAAGAAAGTTTCTTATGATGGATGTTTTTTTAGGTCATGATAAGTCGTATGGCCAAACCTGAAGAAGTGTTGATTGTAGAAGATGAGAATGGAGAGATCGTGAGAGAAACTACGAAAGATACTGACACGATAGCCTTGTATATAGCGATGAAGGAAACCATTTGGTGTCTTTGTTTATTTGATCCTGTCGATACGATGAATATTATGTTGGAAAAGTTGTCTTTACAATTGAGTGGAACAGAATGGAGTTGGCACAATATCAATACTTTATGTTGGGCTATAGGCTCAAGTAGGTCTATATACATATTCTATTCATATATTTCTAACTTTTGATATAGTTTCCGATGCACTTTCCGAGCAAGAAGAAAGAAAGTTTCTAGTAACTGTTATCAAAGACTTGTTACATCTTTGTGAGATGAAAAGAGGAAAAGATAACAAAGCAGTAGTTGCCTCTAATATTATGTATGTAGTGGGTCAATATCCTCGGTAAGTATATCGTTATGATGTATTTATATTGCAAATCACTAAATGAGCGATTGTGTCCTATTAGGTTTCTGCAAGCACATTGGAAGTTTTTAAAGACCGTTGTCAACAAATTATTTGAATTTATGCATGAAACTCATCCTGGTGTACAAGATATGGCTTGTGATACTTTTCGAAAGATTGTTCAGGATTGTCATTATCAATTTGTTGTCACTCAGGTGAATGTTTATTATAGAAATCATCATTATCAACTAAATATCTCTCTAGTATGGAGAAACCAAACCTTTTATTATGGAAATTATAGAAAATCTGCAAGACATTATATCTGGTTAGTAGTTTATGAGGTTTTGTTATAGAGCAACTAAATTTGGAAATAGATTTGGAGCCTCATCAAGTACAAGCATTGTATCCAGCACTTTCTCGTATCGTTGCTGCATTTCCAAATGCCGAAATGAAGAATCAGTTGGTACTTGAGTTGTTTCATTTACCCAATACGAGTTGGGAAAGTATTTTATATCAAGCGTCACGTGAACAACAAATATTACAACAACGTGATGTAATGAAAAGATTGGTATCCATTTTAAGAACCAACTCTGGTGCAGCTACTCATCTGGGTAGTCTTTATATGATTCAACTGCGTCGTATCTTTTCTGTAAGTATAAATTTTCTATTGTTGGATATAGTCATATTGCTTATTCTCTTATCCAAGGAATTGATGAGTTGTTATTCAGTCTATTCAGAAATGATCATCCAAGCAATTGGCAACTTGGGAGTATTTGCTACTAAAACTGCCGATGTTCGGTTGATGCGTTCCGTGAAAAAGGAATTATTGAAATTATTAGAAAGCTTTTTCGATGTTGTAGATAAAAGTGAACGAAAGACTGTGGAAACGGAATTTATTCAACCTTTATTGGAACCTATTCTAAGTGATTATTTTAGGTAAGAAATCCTTAGACAGAAAGAGAGAGAGAGAGAGATTCTTCAAAGAGAATGGATACTCACATTTTATTTTTTCTTATAGAAACATTCCTGAAGCCAGGGAACCAGAAACTTTATCCTTATTTGCTGTTATAACGACTTATATGGGTGAAATGATTCCAGTTACTATGGTTCGATATATCTTCAAGTCACTCTTCAATGTCACATTGGAAATGATCAAGAACAATTTTGAAGTAAGTCATACCAATGAGAAAGCATATCCATCTTGAGAACTGATGTATATTGGGGATAGGACTTTCCCGACTCTCGATACAATCTATTTCGACTACTGAGAGCCATCAATCAATATTCATTTGCCTCCTTGTTTCAATTGGATGAGGATCCATCTCTTGCAGAATCAGAATTCCGTTTGGTTATCAATGCTATTGTTAGTATATTATCTATTTTTTGTTATTTTGATGTAACTCTAATTTATGAATATAGCTTTGGGCAGTGAAACATACGGAAAGGAATATTGCGGAAACTGGCTTACAAACTTTATTGGAGTTGTTGAAGAACGTAGATTCATCTAGTTACGAAGGATATTTCTATCGAACTTATTTCCAGTTGATTCTTAATGATATTTTGGTGGTACTTACGGATACTTTACATCGTCCAGGCTTCAAATATCATGTTCAAATCTTATTGCGTCTATTTACAGTCGTCAATGGATATTTAAAGGAGCCTATTTGGACGGAAGAAGAAGCAACTCAAGCTAGTCGATCAGGAGTTGTTTTACAGAACAATTATGATTATGTGAACTGGTACTTGAGAGTGCTGTTGATGTCTGCTTTTCCCAATATGAGTAGATCACAGGTATATATCGATCCCATTTCTCAGTTCGAATATGTTGACATTTTCTTTGAGATTGAAAATGTGATTCAAGGAATGTTGCAAGCTCAAGATGAAAAAATATTGAAGAATCATTTACGAGACTTTTTAATACAGACCAAAGAATTTAGTAGTGGTGATAATTCAGAGCTTTATGATGAAGCCAATCATCATTCTACTTCAGCATCAGAACAAGAACGATTACAGTCTTCTATTGTACCAACTTCTTCTTTACAACAAGCATCCAACAATTCTTCCTCCTCAAATATGGTAAGTATTCGAGTATAAGTTTCCAAAGTAGTGTATATTTTGTATTAGGTTCAAGCAGCTGGTTTTGGAATCAACTCTAATGAATAAAGAACACTTGAAGCTTTTTTATGACATATACAAGTATAGGATCCATAAAGGAATTTGAACACAATTCAATTTTATATTCTTTTTATGAATTGGACGAATTATTATCAGTCGGTTGTTGCGTCTTTGATCGTTCCAGTTAACACAACTTGTCAAGTCATACTCCAAGCACTTCCTAAAAACATACAAATACAAGATAGGCAAGTTCAAAATGGCCCGAGTTTGGTTTATTTTGTGATATTTGTGTTAGTTGTAGTTTTTATGAACAAGTCCTATTCAAAGAAGAGTCTTTACACGATATTTCTAGAGGTGGTTTTACGAGTGTTTGGTTACCTCCACCAAGTAAGAGTGTACAACTAGAAGGTTATTTACCAGGTGGTCTGTATGATTTGGACTCCTTTTATGGTTCCCAAGTATCGTTGGAACGACTAGTGCTTGTATTGAAAGAACGTGGGTTGCAAGTTTGGATAGATTGGCCACTCAAACGTCGATGTTTAAAAGAACAAGTAAGTTGTATCGAGGTGTTTGTTAGATTCTAGAGTAACTAGTTGTTCGTGTAGGATCCAACTACGCGCAGTCATATGTTTGTTACGAGACCTATATGGACCGCAGATTGTCTAAAATATGCTTTTTCAAGTTTTCATCGAACAACATCCCATGTCGGATATCCAAAGTTGTTGGTTCGTTCTACTAGTCATAATGGATTGGATACGACCATTCCTGTGGATTTGAATAATAGCAAAGTACGTCAAGACTTGTTGCAGTGGGTAAGTTGGTTGGAAAATCAGTTGAGTATGGATGGAGTGGTATGTGATGGAGTGCAAATGGAAGATATTCCTTTTCTCTTGGAATTGATAAAACATGAAGAGTCGAGATGGAAAGCAATATCTCCACAACCTATGCTTTCCTTATCTTCTCCCACATATGAAGAAGAAGAAAAAGAAGAAGAAGTAGAGCAACCATCATTTCTATCATCATCTCAAGAGAGAGAGTGGAAGGAACCTTTTATTTATTCGCCTCTCACACCTAATGAGTATTTATCTATTGCACTAGTTAAAGTAGAGTTTAGTCAAGATAGTGATGGTCGTTTAGCTTATGACCAATCTTTAGCTACTGAACAATTGTTTGAGTTTATTCAGTCTACTCATCGTAGTTATGCATTGATAGATACAGTCAGTAGAACTATATTGGAAACTGCACTTATCTTTCAAGGTAAGAAAATAGGAAGATGAAAAGAAGAATGTTGTAAATGATGAGAAAAGAGTATTGGAGATTAATAGATAAGGAAGCTCGTTTGGTTGGTTTATTGGGACGTGCGAGTGACCGAGCTATTACCGTATTGAATATGGTAGATTTATTAGCAAATATGGAAAGAGAATATGTAGAAACTGGAGGAGGTGGTTGGGTGATATGTAAAACCCAACGTTGTGATTTTCCTGATGCTCATATACTCAAAGGTTATGCTTATCTTTTAACGCATCCTGGAATTCCTTGTATACATTGGGTAATGATTCGTCGTTTCTTTTTTGGGATTCTCTGTTGAATATATATATATATTTATTTATTTTCTCTCTCATTTTGTAAATATACATATATATATAGGACCATTATTTTGATGAAAGATGGAGACAAGGTATCGAAGAGTTGATACAAGTTCGTAGAGGATGTCATATTCATGCTTCTAGTACAGTATATATTGAAAGGTTAGTAATATATTCAATAGAGGAATTGATCGATGAATAATAATACTTTATCACAATTCAGTGCTTGTGCAGAATATTATGCAGCTTTTGTGGATAAACACGTGGCTGTCAAGATTGGTAGAGGAGATTGGCATCCTAACGGACCTTGTTGGGAACTATGTACTTTTGGTTGGGAATATGCTGTATGGAAGCGAAAGTAATAATATACAGTTGGATAAAAAGATAAAAAACGCTATGATTCAGTTTCTTCCTTCCAGAAGACCGATCCAAAATGAGTCCAAGGGACACTCTCATGTAGCATTCGACGATGATTGTCAATGTGTGATTCCACTGTCGTTTGTTTGAAACAGCTTTTGAATGAACAGCATTCACCAACCAACACAACAGATAACCAACAACAAAAGAAAAATACAGAAACGAGAATATGCAAAACGTTCTAGACAAAAGACTATAGAGAGTTGGACAAGACTCAAACACGAGTTGGAAGAAACCAAGAGTTTGAAACAATATTTGTGGCAACACTGTGAAACTCTTCAAAGAGCCAATCAAATTCTCTTCCTTAATAACGAAAGACTAAAAACTTTATTGTCTTATTCATCCAAGGCAATCTTTCCCATGCCTTGTCAGAACCAGGTCAAGTCATCTATCCCTTCATGGGTATGCTGTGGAGAGAGAACAACAACAGTGCCGACAAGAGAACCTGAAAAATGGAGTAATATGGAAAGCAAGTATATGATATCTTCACAACCACTATTATTCAACAACAGCACAATCACTAGAACAAGTGTGGATAGATTACCTTCCATTCAGGATATTCAGCCAAGCTAACTGGAACTGGAAGAAATTTTATATATATAAAACTAGAAGAAATAAACGATAAGAATATTCTTTTTCAATCTTGAGACCCATTCTTCCCAACATAGGATTGGCTTTCGTTATTCTCTCTTTGTTGATTCAATAATTGAAGAAAATGACGTCGATGGATGGTAGGATAGTCTCCAAAGAAACTATGTAGATTATCAAAGGAATGATTATGAAATAAGATAACAACTTACATTCCTAATTGAGGTAAATATAATTCAGATACAAAATGAACCGAATGAAATTGCTTTGATCGAGAAAAGATCAAAAGATGAGCTTTCATATGCAAATCAATGTCACTAACGGGAAAAGTGAATATGAATATTCTCAAGAAATATACAACGTGCCTATAAATACTTCGGAACCAAGCTCTGGTTTGAATTTTGCGACCCCCTTCATCTTCAACGGTGACATACATCAAACAAGAAATATTACTAACACAATAAGTATATCTCTTAAGAGAATAAACAATACACTTGAACCTGTTTTTCAAAGGATATCGTAACTCCGATCGATTCCCTTTTGCAATATATATATTTGTTATTCTAAGTTGTTTTGAGTCACAAGTATTTGTTTGGAATCTATCACAAACCTTCCACTCATAAGAGCTACGTATGCATATTTGCGTAAATTCAAGTTGCGAAGACAAGCGTGAATAGCTGGAGACACAAAAGGCCAAACTATAAATAATAAAGAAATTCGAAAAGCCAAAGACTTTCCTAACAAGTCAACCAACAAATACACACAGAATACTCCAAAGGAGGCAATGGTAGCTCTATCCAGAAGAGCTCGAGGATCCCAACAGAAATAATTGTACTGTTCCCAGGAATACCAGGAAGGAATGACACGGATCTAATAAAAGTGAATAGTGAAGAACAAAAGTTACTCAAATGCTAATTTACAATAGCTCCCGGAGTCAAAGGAACTAGAACACACTGCAAAGGTAGAAAAGAAAGTTTCAACCGCCTCCTTATGAATAGTCTAACATACGAGTTTCGTGAACTGCAAAAACTTTGTATGGAACTAACAAGTTGATGGTTATATTTCAACTTGAAAGGATCACTATGGATAAAGTTGATATGAAGCATTCCTTTCTTAGGATGCTCTCTCATGATTCACCCAAACCCTATTCTAACCCAACATCATCAAAGTCGTTTTAGTCATTTTAATATCGAAAACTAAAATAGTTTTCTTTTTTTGTTTGTGGGCCATCGCAACTTATGCCTACTGCACACTCACGAGAGGATAAAAAGAAACTCAATCTTTATCAGAATAGTTTAGAAAAGGCGATAAAAGGAAGGGACGAAAAAGCTTTATATGAGTGGATAACGTTGGTTACTGAAGAAGACATCACTATCCATGGGGTTCGACAACTGATATCTCAATTCTTGCAAGGTATTTGAGCTTTTAACGTTATGATTGATTACTTATCGATAGGAAGTGTCAAAGGAACTACCTTTGGAAACCCAAAAAAGTCTGTTGTCTCTTTTACTTGAACGAACTGAAGCCAGATCGTTGAATTCAGAAGAACTAGTAAGTGAAGCTGGAATGGGTTCAACAACATAATTATTTTGTATAATAGAATATTCAAGTGAGAGAAACTTTGTCGAAGTTATATGAGACTTTAGGAGATTTTTCCTCAGCAGCTCGATTATTGATTCAAATACCTTTGGAAGGAAGCAGTCGTAATACAAACGATGACTACAAAGTAAAAACGTCGGTGATTAGTTTCTTTAGATTCGACTCTTGTGACACTTTATAGTCTCATTCAAATTGCAAACTTGCTGTTCCTTTCAGGAGACGTGTCTTCGGCAGAGTCGTATCTCAATCGTGCAAGTGCAGGTTTGGCAGTAACTGATAGGGACGATTTGAAATATGCCTTCAAGGTCTATATGAGAAGTTTTATTAACTTCATCGTTATTGATTGATAGTTTAGGTCTGCCATACCAGAATTTTAGAGGCAAAGGGAAAGTTTTCTGAGGCTGCTTGGCATTATTATGAACTTTCTCAAAGAAGCTTGAACCCTGAAGTAATGGAAGTAAGTGTTCCCTTGAATTTTGGATATTCTGAAAAGCAAGTGACAACGTAGACCAATGCACAATATGGTTACTTGGATTTCTTGAATCATGCAGTTATTTGTGCAATAGTTTCACCTGCTGGACCTCAGGTAAGCTCTTGTTGCTTTGGGTTTGTTGATTAGGTTGATCATCTTAGCGGTCTCGAATATTGGCTGCCTTATTTCGGGATGACAGGACACATTCTCTTATATCCTTTGAAATGTTACAAGCAGTTTATATGGATCGTCTTTTAAGAAGACCACATAGGGAGACATTTGCAAGGCTATTGAATGAATACCAATTTTATCCTTTTCAAGGTAAGATAATGGTATTCGTATTGCAAGTTTATCACTACATGTTGATATTAGTAGATGGAAAGGATATATTTGAACAATCTTTTATGGAGCACAACTTATTAGCTGTTTCGAAAATTTACAGTAATATTAAGTTGGACCAACTGGGTAATCTATTGCAGATCTCCAGTGACGAAGCAGAAAGTTTAGCAGCTAAAATGATATGTATGTTTACTATTTCTTTCTGCTTGATGTATTCTCATTTTGTACAAGATGAAGGTAGACTAATGGGTACGATAGACCAAGTCAATCGCTTGGTGGAATTTGAACATTCAGTTGAAGTACTTTTTATCTATTTCCATTATTCTTAGTTTCTAATATATCTTTCTGTGATATAGATAGTTCAGTGGGACGCAAGATTGGAATCATTCTGTCAAGAGGTTGACCATTGCTATGGAAGAATTGTAAGGATATATCCACAAGTTTTGAATGATGAACAAGTCATGGATTGGAACAGATGAGAATTACTAAAATAGTTCCAGAACAACTAATATTCTAGATACCTATAAAGTTTCTACATATGGCTACATAGAAATTTCTTTGTGCCTTTAAACTCTGATTCGTAGCAGTGAGTCCCATTCCGTTTCGCTTGGAAAGAAAAAAATGCAATTGAGCGCCATTTTGAAAATGTTGTATGGATAATTGAAAAGAATTGAAAATGCACTGGAATGCTTTTTTATGCTGTCAACAACAACTAGTTCAGGTTTACCTCTTGAAGAGACCGTTTCATTGCCCATTTTGTCACAGAAAAAAACGTTTACCTGTGTATTCTAAACTTGGAAAATATACTAGTCTCAAGTCGTCTTTGAGTCTGGAAAGCTCGGGTGCTCCTTTCTCGGCAGCTGACGTTTTTACCTTCTTGGCTCTAAGGGCACAAGAATCCATCTGCAAAGATACCGCACAAGTCGACGGATTGGGTAAATTTTATAGTTGTGGAGATGCCAAGGATGACAGTAGTTTGTCCGACTACAGTAGTATACAGGGCGGGTCGGATAGTGACTGGAGCAAAGACGAGATTCCTTCCTTATTTAATTGGTGTCCACCTTCCAAGAGCATTTGGAGTGACCGAAAAAGTTCACGTATGCTGGGTGGTAGGAAATTCTCCAGAGCTTTTGTCGATGTCTGGAGAGCATCTCAAAAAGAACGACATCCACTGATAGGCAGAAGGTAGTAGCTTCTTAGTGCTTGGAGTGCAAATGTATTTTCAAAGCAGTTATATAGGTTCTATCAAGGAAGAAGAAATGCGCACGTTGTTTGGGTACAAACTCTGAACGTGACCTCGGCAACACCACTTACTGAAAACCTAGACATTGCCGGAGTTAGTCTCTTTTTAGAACCCAGGAACGTGCATACACCAATATTTCGTGCAGATTGTAAGTTGACTATAAATTTGAAAGAGTGCTTTCATTACTATCGATAGTACGTTACTTTGAGTTAAATCATGGAGGCCTTTGGTGGTTTGTTGGTAGCGTCGACTTGATTATTTCTGCCTCGAGTTCAACTAGTATATTTGCCAAAGTTAGTGACTATACAACTTTGTACAAATATGATGATCTCATACCATGTCATTAGGAGGCAAAACTTGTTTATAGTCATTGGAAACAGTTATGCGAGAAACACCGCTCCATCATTCCTTTCGTTCGCGACCCATCACAAGAACCCATTCCCTTTGGAAACCTATTAGGAGATTTTGACACGGTTGAACGTGGACGATCCAGAGCTTTCGCTTTCACGAATGATGTCATGGATTCCTTGTTATCTGTGTAAGTAAGCATTCTTTTTGCAATATTTCCTCAACAAAAGTTCCAATTTTAGCTATTTGCCGTTGACTCGCAAACAAAGCCCGTCTTTCAAGCAACTGAAGCGAAACAAGAGTAGGAATCCTCACTTGGGTTTCTTTCATCTCGATCCATCTGCAGAATCCAGTTATACTTGGGACACGTATAGTTTATCAGGAGGCACAGTTTTGGAATCTTCTTTTTGTGAAGAAGCACCCTTGGCTATGTGGCGTTTTAATCTCTTTCCTCCACCAGGTACAGCTGCTGCAAAAGTTATTGCAGAACTTCGCTCGGGTAGAAATAGTTCACAAATAGATCCTCTCGGTTATATTGGGTGGTTTTAGAGATTGCTCATTGTCTTGTGGTAAAATGATCCTATTTCCTTATGTGGAAAGGGTCATGGAAAAATTTCTTTAAAGGATAAATGTTCGGTTTGGGAGTCCCGTCTTGTCCGATATTCACTCAGTTTCAGCAGGTTTGCTCATGAGAAGTACTTGGAATATAATAATGTCATTATGCTTAGGTACAACCAGAAAAATTCGTAGCTCAGTTTCCAGCCAAGTTTTTAGGATCCTCGTTTCTTTTCTTTCTGCTACCTGGCGCTTCTCTTCCTGCGAACACAGTAGCATCTTTGTATTGGAGGTTGGTTCCTTTACTGTGAAACTGAAGTGATACTTGAACGAATGCTTTGTAGCGTTCCGCCGTATGAAAACTGGTCTTTTGTTGGTTTGATTGGGAACGATTGTCCAAGCAAATTGTGCACTTTAAAGTTACCAGCGCAGTCAGCCTCCGAAAATGTTATGATAGAAGTAAGTACGATGGAAAACATTTTGTTTTCGATAACTTGGTTCAAGTTGGGTATTTCTATTGAAAATATGTCGGAAGCAGCTTTAGCAGTTCCAAACAGTCCTACCATTGTTCTAGATCAGTCGGATCTTCAGCTTCTAGTTCGAGGCATTGCAACAGATTTTTTTCGTTTTGTGGAATCTTTTGGTCAGTCTATGGGCCCAGGTGGTTTAGCACTAGTAGATAAATGGTTTCAAAAGTTTCAAGAAAAGCTACAAAGCGATCCTTGGTATTGGAGACGTATCTCGGATAGGACTTGAAAGAAGCGTGTACAAAAGATAAACGAGTGGGAAAGCTAAAAATTTACTTGCTATAAGGGATAGGTTTTTTGTTCTATTCCTACTTAAGGTGAATCAAGTACTTCCGGCGTGAAATCCTCTTTTCCGGGGAGTTCCGCAAGTTCCAAGTCGTACTAGAGTAAATATTTGAGCGGCGTAACTGTGAACTATTCAAACAATACCTCAATGGTCGCATTTGGCGGAATAGCTCTCTTTCCTGGACTAGCTCTCCTTCCTTTGGAACCAAACGCTGCATTGCTTGGAACCACAATATGAACCAAATCACCCACGTTCATCAATGGTAACACTTCCTCGACGCCCTAAAACTCAACAGTATTCTCAACAGATGGTACAACAGTACTAACTTGGATCACAATGTTACTGCCAATCCTCAAGTAGTAAGGCTGCTCAGACTCCATAATGTCGTCAAATACATAGTCTCCATATTTGGCACGAAAACGGATACCAACAAGGTCTCTAGAGTAATACATATTTCCCGTGTTTTAGTCGTTGGTAAATATCTTCTTACCCTAAAGCTGGATGTACCTTCCCAGTACCTCTTTTCACTAACCAAAACCGGACTCCATCAGGAAGCACAACTTCATCATTACTAGCTGAATGAACAAGACACGAATGAAAAAAAGGCAAAGTGCAAAGACAGGCTACAGTCTGCAATAAAACCCTCCGATTCCAACCTGTCTGTACTGAAAACAGTGAAAGAGATTTGTTTCGTTTCCCGATGAAGCTCCTTCGAAAGAGACAATATTGAAAAATAGCCTTGCTTTTCCAACTCAAGCAACCGCGACAGGTAAAACTTGATTGCTTGGATTGAATATTCAAGTGTGTAACAAAAAGCGCTGTTGAAATCATATTCCACCCAACCAAAACAATTTTTTACTCACTTTTTTATATCTCTTAAATCAGCTCATAGCCTTAATATGTTCAAAACTTGTGTTATTTTCAATCCTTGTCCTACTCTTTCAACATAAAAAATTTGCGGAGACAAACTTGACTCAAGAATTGGAACGTTGGTGTTCCTCAACTGCAAGTTGCAACATAACTTCCCATAATTCACAACGAATCGGCATATCCAGTTCATAAAACGGGTTTTTCAAAACATAGTCTGCATACAAATCATATACACGTCTCTTACATACCCATCTGTAAGCAAGCCAAAAAAGGTTCTGTGAAAAATTCATACCAAAAAGTTCTTCAAGTTCTTCGTTTCCGGTGACGCTGTTGCAACAAACTTCACTCCTGTTTGTGATTGAAAGGCTTGTAAAACAAAAGTATCCGTTTCTATTCTTTCAATTCCAAACCCAAAACGAGAGTGTGCGGGAGAAAGTTGCCTAGAAATAGCTTGTATACTGGACGTGGATCGTGAGAATCAACCACAACAGACTATGGATAGGGCGTTACCTATGAAATGTAGAAGCTAATCGGAGATAATCATTGGAAGATAGTTTTGCTGCAGTGTCTGAAAAGTTTTGTTGATAAATGAGACCGCCAGCTTTGTTGACCACAAATAAACTCAACAACATGTCACACGCACAAAAAAAAGAAACAAAATGGCGCCACAGTTCGCAATAATTCGTTGAGGAACGATGAATATTTTGGTGACTGTCGTAAGTAGGTAAGTTTTTGGAATGCTTCTGTGAGCCGAGTACTTTGAATAATTGCAGAGTAGGTTCCTTCCACCTAGTTGTAGAGAAGTAAATAGTTTGAAAGATTTGGAAGTTATTTTCTTCGACCTTGTTTGTTTAAAGTAAGATGTTGTACTGGATATTATGTGAGTTGTAAAAATATTTTGTAGAGATACTATTACACGGTAGAGTATTTAAAGAATATTTGGTTCCAAGTTTATCCTTTTGGCCAGTTTTCTAGCTTTTTGTGTTGTTGCGTTTGCTGGGGTTATTAAACTTCCTCAAATATGGTCCATAATACGAGCAAGTTCGGCCCAAGGAATTAGCACTGCAGCTCTTTGTATCGAAACATTTGGTTATGTGTACAATCTTGCCTATCATCGTAGAGAAGGGTATCCTCTTTCTTCTTACGGAGATTTCTCGTTGCTGGCGTTGCAAAACTTGTTCATTCTATTTTTATCCTATCGCTATCGTCATTTAGATATCCAGGCAATAGGTAAGTATCGTGAGAGGTGTGTGAAATTGCTCAAGTTATTTTGAGGCATTGTTGTATTCTTTATTGCTCTCATATTCTTCATGACGAGTTTATGGATGCCTTTGCATTTGTTGCGCCTACTGGTGACTTGCAATATACTTACAGCAATGGCTTCTCGAATTCCACAAATTTATAACATTTTCAAGAATAAGTCTGGAGGTACATTGAGCCTTATTACATGCTTAGGAATATTTGGTGGTGCTTGCACGAGAATTTGGACAACTGCTCAAGATGTCAAAGATAATTTAGTACTCTTTGGATACGTCGTCTCAACATTGCTCAATGGAATACTATGTTTACAACTCATTTATTATCGTTACTTCAAGTCTAAAAAGAATAAGGAAGAATGATTGCCATAAATGAAGAGTTTCAACATGACATTCCGAGTAATCTTTCTTTGCCATCATTTGGGGTTCTTCTTGTCCTTTTCATTGTCATCGACATTTATATCACCGCCATACATTCGTTTCAGCATTTCGATTTGCTCAGGAGAAACTCCTGAAGAAGGCCGCTCCTTTGGGTCGTTGGGTCTTTCAAACACTATGGAAGATGATGAAGATGGTTGCTTAGTTCCCATACCACCTTTTCTCCAGCCACCAGAGAATCTTCTTCCGTCAATGGAACGTCTACGACCATTCCTCAGTTCCTCTTCTTCACTTTCCAACTCGTCATCTTCATCTTCATCGGTTTCTACAGAGAATTCATTCATTCTTCGACGAAAGTTTTCAATAGCATCCTTGTCATCAGCTAAAGTAGATACACTTTCTGCTCCTGCTTCATTCTCTCTTTGTATCTGCTGTTCCTTTCGACGTTGTTGAAAATAAGTAACCAACAAAAAACACAAACGCACCAAAGCTATGAAGGTGAGGAAATACAAAGCTAGGAGAGTGTTAAAATCAAGTGACTTTTCTGTTTTTCCTTGTGTTCGAAGAATAGGCTGTATTGTTGTCGCCAAAGTAAGCATGCTCTTCCTATCGTCACTGTTTCTTGAAAACTTTCTCACCGCTGTTGTACAAGTCTCCTGGGGCACTAGTAAAGAAGAGGGACTCATAAGATTGGTTTCAGCAGACATACAGAAAGGTTTTGCTGACAACACTGTGCAAACGGAAGCCAGAGTCAACACACCCCTTCTACAAAGGCTCAACGACTGCCTCACAAGTCCATCCTGCTGAAAACGCCTACAGAGTCTAATGCATACGTCATTCAAACTATGATTCATAAGGATATATTTAGAAGACTTTTGCCTCCAGGTTGCAGTCTTTCATCGAGTTGTTAAAAGGGCAATGTAGAACTTGTGTTCATACTTACAAAAGGCGAGGGCTTCTGAAATACGCCAACCCTCCAATCCCTCAAAGGCGGTGCAAAATACTTGTTTGCTTTGGAAACCGTGCAGTTGTTGCCAACGTCGACGATAAAAAGATATTGCAAGCAAGTCTCGTTTGAAGTCTTTCTCTTCTCCCACATGACGTGACAATCGAGCATTTTCTCAATCCTCCTCCTCTTCCTTCTCCCCTCCCATGAATGATCATTTTTTATTATTCTATTCTGTGATCAAGATATGTAATCCACAACTAGTCACTCGTTTTTTCAACTAGAGACGAGGCCACAGTAGTGGATCAGTACTAGTCTCCTCTTTCAAGTAGAAGATATGATCACAATTTCCTGCAAAGACAATGGATACAATTTTTCGTTGGAAATTATATGACAGTGAACAAAAAGACAACATGGAGATAATTATTTTCCATTGCAGTCATTCATCCGTCTCTTTCTTGACATGATTCCATTTTGGCTTTGCCAAAGTAGACGTAGACATGGAAGTGCCTCTATTTCTTCCAAGTCTTGCTTTACGTTTTCTACTCCATAAAAACCAAGAAATTACTACGAAGCCTCCAATAAAATCCGATAACAAATGCCAGGACCAGTCATCGCAGTTTTCATTCTTGTATAAATGGTTAAGTAGTGATAGTGACTTCCAATACAGGTTCACCACTACGTTCTATGTGCCATTCCTTTACTACGGATACAGGTTGGAAATATCTCAGAATCGATGACCAGTGTGTATAAAAAGTTCCTTATCAAATTCCTAAAAAACATGTAAAAATACCCAAAATGTATATAATTTCTCCTATTTATGAATATTGGAGGCTCCTAAACTATATCCAATGCTAACGCAGTCAATACATAAATACTCCACCATAAAGCACTTCTTCTCATCAAATAGATGACTCGAATAGTAAAAAGGGGAACCATTTTTTATCATTCTTGCTCAAATATAGTGCATCAACTCCATTCAGTCCAACTTTTTCAAGGTAGACATGTAATAATGGATAGAGTTCATATCAGAACACTCTTCGAGAATTGCAACAACGACTCCAAAGGTAACATCATCATGACAACTATGTACTCAGATCCAAATGTCGTTTTCATCTTTCACATAATGTTAAACTACTCATTTCTATCTTCTTCAAAATTGAAGTTTCTCAAACTCCCTTCTTTTCGATTAACTATCTATAAGTTTCTGGCATGGTGAACATGGCAATGAGCAAAATAGAAAACAAAGTATCTTCGATGACCAAGAATCATTCACAAATATGGATGCACCTATGTAGGCACAAAGCAGCCCAAAGCTAATCATAAATTGATAAGAGTCTCTTCGCCATTCATATCTCAAGAGTTGAGAACTATGGGCATGTATGAAAATGTTTCAACTACTTTTTGCTCCAAGAACTCCTCTTCAAAGCATGAAACCAGTTATCATAGACTCCTTTTCCAGATGTCAAACTGTGATCCTTTGGCATGAATAACGCTGCTCTACTAATAACTCATTGATTCGTTCCATAAATAAAGTCTCCAATAGAAATGAAGACGCCTAAAATCAATGTCATACAAGGACCACCCTTTTTCGAATAATGTGTATGGATATTCTCACTTCATCCAAGAAAGCTTCCCATTGGGTAATATAGTCAGTCTTGCTTCTCTCCATTATCCTAAACAATTTCTGTATCTTGAGTTTTTCCTTGGAAAGTTTCTCTTAGAACTTTCGAAAGGAGTAGAGAGAGTTCCGAGAAATATAGATTGTTCATGAAAAGTTTGACCGCCGTCATTCTCTTGTGCATAAGTAAGTGAAATGTCCTCTATGGTTGATTCAAAGTTGAATTCTTAGAGATTATACTGAATTTAGCAAACAAAATTAATAACTTTCCTTAAAAGACGATTTACCATACATAAAGGCATTGGATGAATGAATACTTACTTTATTTTCATTGTAAATTTCGTTGGAGTAGAATCGTTCAAACTTGGCTATTGAAATATGACCTGAATAAGAGTCAAACATGATAGTGGCCAGACTCGAAAGAATTGAATCCTTATTTTCTTTAAATCCAATTGTTTGCTCATAAAACTAAGATACGTTGTCATCTTTATGGGAATGTTTCCGAAGGACTTGGTTCAATTGGCTTTACATTGTACTATCTCTACTCTAATCACTATCAGTGTTTTTTCAAAAAAACTTATGGCCAAAGTTGCTTTGATTATTCTAGGAATACTTTGCTTGGTCAAAGTATTCACTACTGGGAACAAGTACGCAAGGACATCTTTCTATAGTTTTCGACTGATTTCTTTTCTATAGGAAATGTATTGACTGCGGATCTAGCGGAGGTTGGCATATCCTCTGATACCTCACAAGAATTTTTGACATTAGTTTAGCTTATAATAACAGTAATACGTTGAGTGTTGATAATACAACAAGATATCTTGGAAGTGCGTATCGTCTTAGTGTACGTAGTCATAGAGACAAATTGTTTTCCTGGAAAGACTAACAAGTAGCATAGCAAAGGGTTGACGTTTCATATCTTTCTTTTGGTCAAGCAAAGAGAATAGTTGACGACGAGATCAGAAATTTTTGGAACAAATATTCGAGAGGAGATGGTATTCGAGTAGCCATCTTAGACTCTGGAGTGGAGGCTTCACAGTTAGACTCTTTACGTGTCATTCGTATGATTGACTGGACTAGTGACCAGGATAATTATGACTATTTGGGTCATGGGACACACATAGCCAGTATTCTTGGTAGTTCAGATAAAGACTGTCCTGGAGTTGCTCCTGCAGTCGAACTATTCATACATAAGATAATGAATAGAGACGGTTTAACGTATACTTCCTGGATCTTAGATGCTTTGAATGATGTATTGCTTTCTAATGTACATATTATATGCATGTCAATAGGTGGTGGTGATTATGAGGATCAACCTCTGATAGATAAGGCAAGTATATCGGTACAGTCCCCTTTTTATTTCATGTTCACTTTTGATAGATTCGAGAAGTAGTCGCCAATGGAGTCGTAATACTCACAGCTGCAGGCAATGATGGACCTTTATTTGGAACACATTCACATCCTTCTTCCATGAAAGAAGCCATAAGTATTGGTGCAGTTGATAGTCGTCATAAGATTGCTTCCTTTTCTTCAAGAGGAATGACTTTGGAAGAGCAACAGTTCCGAAAGATTGTAGATGACTCATCATTGCTTTTGATGAATCATTCTTATAACAAAATTACTGCTGATTCGCTATCCTTAGAACAATTTCTTGAATATACGCAAATAATCGGTCGACCAAAACCGGATGTTCTGGTTGAAGCTGTTACGATAGCATCTTCAGGTCTGAAATCAAAGACTGGAAACTGTGTTGGACTTAGTGGGTAATTATGTAGTTGTCTTTTTTGAAATGATTATGATGAAAGATGTCAGAACTTCTTATGGTGTACCTATATTGGCTGGATATTTATCATTACTCTTTTCTGCCATTCCATTTGAGTATCGTCTCTTCTATATGAATTTGGCTGGTGTTCGATATATACTTGGAGAAAGTTGTATTCCATTGTCCAACAATAGTATTTACGAGCAAGGAATGGGTTTGTTTGAATTTGGTTTGGCAAAGAAGAGAATCATTGCAAGTTTGGAAAGCATCCATTTATCTAGAAACAACAGATTTTCAAAACCATTTCACAGAAACAATATAGGAATTGAGGCATCCGTCTATCCTTTCCGACTCTTGTTCAACTCTTCCTTTGAAAGTTGTTCATTTTGGTGGCCACACTGTATCTTTGACTCTGATGGAGAGGCCAAGCCTCCCTTATCATTGCAGTTGAATCTTGTCATTTGCTTTCCATTATCGCCCATATTTTCAGTGAAAGCTATAAAATATGTTTCGGAATCTGGCGAGAAACCGTTATGGGATGTCAAAGAACTCTCTTCTTTCTGGCCTTTTGTTGGTATATTAAACTTGTTTATTGCATTTCCTCATACCACTGACTTGAATGATATGTCTTTGGGTAATAATAATAATAATATGAGAAGGATAAGAGGAAAGTTTTGTATTACTTTAACATCTTATGCCAGTGAAATGAAGTTGTCTACTCTTGTTCATTTAGATTGGTCTGTTCATCAGAAAGAGAAAAGGTAAATATGCAACTTGCAGAAAAGTCGCAGTGGAATCGAAATTTGTATAGGAAAATAATACTATGGGATGCTTTTCATCAAATTTCCTATCCGATTCCTTTTGTTCCTACTGACGATATTCAACATTCACAGTTATTATTGGACAGGTTTGGCGACCTACCATTCACGAACTTTAGGAACCTGTATCAAAGATTCACCTCTGGACCTTTTGATATGAAGACATTTTCTTATCCCTGGACGACTTTAGAGAAAATTTGGAATGAAAACAACTGTTCAGATGATTTAATAACTGCTCTGTTTTGTGTAGATCCCGAAGATTGGTTGGAAGATGAAGAAATCGATGCTGTAGATAGACTTGTATTTCATCACGGTTTAAGTTTGTTGCTTGTTGCTGAATGGTTTAACGAGGAAACTATGAATGACTTGCGATATTGGGATGCCAGTACCTCTCGTTGGTGGTCTCCTGTTGTGGGAGGTGCAAATATGCAAGGAATCAACAGTTTGGGAAGACGATTTGGTTTTTTGTTTGGTGATGTTGTTTTTGACGCTTCGTTGTGTACATCTTACGAGAGAGAACAAGCTTCAGATTATTCCACGCAAGACGATCCTTGTAATGGAACCCATTCTATAAGTTTCCAATCAGGAAACGGTTTCTACTTTGTACAAGAAGGTAGTCAAATATTGTTTGCTCATAACAAAAAGGATATTCGTAGAATATGGTCACAAGATGATAGGAATGATTTCGATAGTGCTATGGAAAGCATACCAATCCTGTCTCAGGAACAAGGCAACTACACAAGTTTGGAAAACGTTACTTGTGAAATAATTCTGGAACAAGATCTACCAGTGTTTTTATATCGCAGACATGGAAAAGGAAATCTGATTGTTTATGGAGATAGTAACTGCCTTGACTCTTCACTTTCAGAGGATTCTTCAAGTTGTATTGAAGATCTCTATCAAGTTGTTCGTTTGGTCACATCTCAATTGAATCTTTCTCTCATATTTCCTCATGTTGAGTACATTCATAGAAATACTTGTTTTCCATCAGCAGGAAAGATGTCCATGAATAGCTGGAATGGGACTCTATTAGAACCACATTCTTATCATTGGACCCGAAGAAGATCATCATCACTCTAATAAAACATGTTGGTTATTCAAGGAATAGCACTATCGTTGTGGATTGAAGTTATCACCAGTCTTTATGTTTTATATTCTGTAAAGAAATGGAATACGAAAAAATATAAAACTATAGCCTTTTTCTGTTGGGTACCTTGCTTTATCTTACTCCTTCTCGTACCCGACTTTTGTTTTAACAAAGACGATCAAATAGTGGCGTATATATTCTGTTATGCTGTCGTTTCCTGGTAACTGAATCTCACTTATTGCAATCACTTGTATTGAATAATGAGCGTTTAGGTGGAGTAGTTTCAAAGCTTTGGCTGTTTTATTGGGTCAACAACCTTTGCAGAATGCAAGTACACTATCCCTTCTACTCTGGATGTGGTTCCCGTTGACTATGAACGATAATTTAGATAAGGAAAAAGTCCGTTAATATCTTTTATTTTGGAGGAAAAGTTTTTCAATTCTTTTCTAGGTTTCAGAGACTACTTCTCAGTTTCTGTCTCGTTTTGCTCTCAAGTTAGTCCTGGTTTGGGGCTTTGTTAATAGTCTTGTCTTTATTCCCTCTTCACTCATTTGTCATATTATTTATGCGTTTTTGTTATATCTTTTTTGTTCTCTTCTATTGGATCTCTGTGCTGCCATCTGCAAGCCATGGTTTCCCTTGGATATTCACTTTGATAAGTAAGTTCCATAGAGTCTTTTTATTATTCATTGTACAAATGTTGCTCTTCATAGACCGTTTTTATCTAATAGTTTATCCGATTTTTGGTCCAGGCGTTGGAATGTTCAAGCTGCGAAGACTCTGTATTATACAGTTTATTTAAGTATTTGTCCCAATAATCAGCGTTATCCTCAATGGAGAAAACTAGTTGCAGTAATAAGTACTTTTATGGTCAGTGGCATTATGCATGAACTGGTAATTTTTTATTCTGTTTGTTTCTATTATTGTCTAATAACCTTTTGCCAAGTTATTATTCCGAATAAATGGAACGGTGACTGGACATTGGTTTATATTTTTTTCGTTACATGGTTTCTTACTAGTTATTGAAAAAATTGGCAAAAAGGTAATTAAGGAATGAAACAACATTGTGTCTTTTGACTGTTGCTTGTCGATATTAGATGATGTTTCGTTGTTCTGGCATGTTTGGTTCTATATTCGGACGAATATGGTGTCTTTGTCTATTGATAATCACATCTGAATATTTCTTTTGGCGTCCTATAATAGATAGTGGTTTGGTTGCAAAGGCGGTCTCTTTATTCGCAATAGATGAAAAACACTTGGAGCGCTATTTGAAACGATAGATAATGACTAGGAAGCCTTTTTGACTTGTTCCGTCTCCAAAGAACGACAGTAAGGTCCAGGTGGTTCCGATAACAGAGTTGTCTTTCCTTGAATACCTACACATTGGTGGCGACTATTTTGAGGACCAACTTTGACAGCTTTGTGATCACGCAGATTTTCCAGTACTTGTATCGCGCTTTCAACTGTCAAGTCTTCATAGTAATCGTCATTGACTTGCATCATAGGTGCATTGACACAAGCACCTAAGCACTCCACTTCTTCAAGGTGAAACATCATATCTGGACTGTTTCCGCCCGGTTCGAGGTTAAACTTGCTTTGGATAGCACGAAGAATATCATATGCGCCACGTATCATACAAGGAGTAGTGCAGCAAACCTGAACATTAAACTTCCCTATCGGTTCACGATAGAACATTGAATAGAATGTTACAACTTCATAAACTCTTATGGGGGGCATTTCCAAAATTTTTGCCACTTGATTCATAGCAGCCAATGGTATCCAACCACCACACTGTCGTTGTACTAGATCTAAAAGTGCAATAACTGCTGATGACTTGTAATTCCTTGGATACTTTTTTAGAATATTCTCAATTTTCTCATAATTCTCGTCTGTGAAGTCAAACGTGGTTTCTGCAGTGTTGCCTTCCCTATCAACGTGCTGCAATGGACGGGTTAGTACAGAATAAAATTCGGTTGAAAAGTTGAGAAACCTACAGATAAAGAACCTGTACTAAAGGACTTGCTTGGAGGGCTTTTTCTGCAGTTGAGAACGGAAAACACTCCGAAACTGTTGCTACCCCGCTGTTTGGATAGAATCTGAAATCCGTTGAAACCAGAAAGAAACGAAGAAGTTTGCTTGTACAGATGGAAGAGATTCATCACATTGCGCGCCATAGAAGAAGCGTCGTTGAAAGCAACTTGAAAAGGCAAAGTATTCCAAGTACTTGAAGAGCAATTCCTCTCTTCAATGGAAAGAAAATGGGATCGTTCAATATGAAAACGAAGCAACCAACATGAATTTGGAATTTTCTAATATTGTGCAACTTTTCTGATAGAGACTCATTTTCTAAAGAGATTGAACAAGGCTATTCCTTGAGAAAAGGTGATGCCTAATGAAAATGAACTGCGAGGAGAATAACGAAAACAACTGTCTTCATCGGAGAGTTCACGAGTCTCCAATCAATCTTTGTTAAAGAAATCCATTTTATACATTTATTATTTAATAGTTTCGACCACTTAACTTTAAAATTACTCTGCCAAATGAAGAGCGTTCTAATGCCGCTGCTCGTAAATCCTTCACTGCGTCTTCTACAAGCATCGCAGTCGTTTGTGCCTTGCAAGGCCTTTGATTAGCATGAAAAGTCTCAAATGAGGGTTCCATACTCTCATCTAAGGTACAGATAGCTCCTAAATTGTTTCTTGCATTTGGACCTTCGGGATATGCAGGAGCAGAAAAAACTGTAATTAGAAGAGGAAGTGTTTCAATGGAATCACAATCTGAGCTTGAGGCTCCCTTCTGTATGCTTTCAGAAAAAATTTCTTTCTTTCTTCTTCCAATTGTGACGAAATCGATAGAATGACCTTGTCTCAAACTAGGAAAGTCCTTCCTTTTCTCTCTGGCATCCGGACCTTCATGGGAACGAATCTTCAAAATATCATTAGAAAACTGCAGGTTATCGACAAGAAATGATAACTTACGATATAACTTAAATTATTATCGCGAAGGAATTGTTTGGTCATATCTGGGCCAAATGCTATTCCTGCACCACGCATACGGTTTGGTCCAAAACCGTAGATATAATCAGGATCTGACCATAGTATATCTTCCAGCGTTCCGGTAGGATCAGGAAGATTTCTTGGAATCTGTACAAGTTCCTTAAAAAATGGAACGATGAGCTTCAATTATAACTCTTACAAACAATGACATACCTTCAAGGTACCCAACTTTCCAGAAGAGTTACGAAACAGCCCTCCATGCAGAACAAGAACTCGTCTTTCATTATCTTCCAAAGGAGTCAAAAAGCGATACGATATCTTTTGGGGTTGAGTAAAGCTTTCGTCGGATCCTGCTCTAGAATTATTGGGAGAAGTGTCGGGCACTGAACCACATATAACATCCTGTTGAACAATTTTGGAGGCTACAGTAGATTTGTGCAAATAATGTCCGATATCTACACTTGATCCTAACGGTGTCTTCAATATAGCAAATTTTTTTCGACTTTTTGGAGTTGACACTACGGGAATAGTCGAGTTCTTCCACCATCCTTTCCATAAAGAACCAGCACGTTCACTTGCATTCATTCCATCTCTCTCAGAATGGCGTTCAGGAGAATCTCTATCGACTATATATGAAATATGATTCGAAACAACAGCAGCAACAGGTAGATGACAAAATAACTGCTGACAAGATAAATAAACCTTTACATTATATTTCTGTATACACTCCTTTCGAAATCCATATATGACATTGCAATACGACGTCTCATGATTTCCTCTCAAAAGAAATACTCTTCGTGGTTCCCACAACTTCAGTAGACAAAGAATCAACAAAACCTTGAAAGGAATAAGCCAATATCAACATGTCCATATCAAACCAACCTCTATTCCCCAACTTCCTCGGTCCACATAGTCTCCATTAAATAGCAGCGTATTCTTACAATTGGGATAGCCAGTATTCTCTAAAATACTAGAGAGATCATATAAGTGTCCATGAATATCACCTTTCTCCCAATAAGTGGCAATTTAAAATAACCATAAACCTTACCAATAATATGAACAACACCACCTTCTGGAACACGAACATCTAAAACGTTGGATTCCGCAGCAACGACTGAAATGGTATCTTTAATAATTTTCTTCGCATCGACCGTTGAAATAACAGTCTTGGTTAGTGAAACATCGTCCCTCCAACCCAACTAGTACAAGATTTCTTAGTAAAAGACTAGAGCTGAGTGACAGTGCTTCTTACTTCTTGAAATCTTCTTAACACTATGCGAATATACTCCCCATCGATATTTGAAGAACTAATGTAAGGGATTGTTCCAGCTGGTAAAATTCGACAAACAAACGGCTGCGCTGAAGATTCTCGTGCATCTCCTTCTTCCTTCGTGACTTGAGAAGTTTTCGTTGATATTTCTAGTTTTGGTGTAAGTTCTGTATAAGAGCCTTCCAACCCCACTTTTCCATCGTCAATCGCACAGTCTGATACCTCCGCTGCTAGTTCTTCAGAGTCCTCCCAAAAGAACAAATCGTTTTCACGGATAAATTCTTGCTCATGGTTGGCAACATGATTTATCCAGTCGTGTTCTACCGCTTCAAAAGCCTCTTCCGTGTCCGAAATTCTACCCAAAATCTCGGAGAATCTGTCTTGTTCACTTCCATCACTTTGGTCCTCCAATACTCTCAGGGAAGAGTTGTCTTGAAATCGTCTTAAATCCGGAACAGACACAGAATAGTGTACCTTTGTGAAGGTTTCCAGTCCCTCCCTTGTTTCAAGCGGCTCTGCAAACGCTTCTGCTGTATGTTTTCGTCGACTGTCTCTGTTTTGTTCCATTTTTGCTTCGTCTTCTTCAAAACTCCCTTGAACTGGTAGGGAATTCTTTCTTGGCTGCACATTTGCAAGAAAACGTTTCCACATATCTTTATAAAAACAGAGTTGAAGTGCAAAACCAAAGGCAATACCAAAAACAGGCTTTGCTCTACTTGTCCAATGGATTATCCAATTTGACAATGTGAAGTGGAATTGACATAACATATGAATAGCTTGAATCTTGTACATTCAACTAGTCTGTTATAGTATAATTGGTTCAAAAAGAATGAAGATGGTATCGTGTTTACATTTCCTAGTCGCCGGGGCGATTACGAGTCCAGAATTTAGTTGCGTGATCGTTACTTGAAGAAACCTAAAGCCGCATAAACGAAAAAGCAAAAGTAGCCATAAAGAAACCTACCAAAATGTGACCTATTGGATGCCAGTTAAGGTCCCATACCGCTGATTCATGTGCATCAGGAATAACTGCGGCAGGTTCGTTTGCACCTACAAGCCAAAAGAAAATACAACAGTCCCAACCCCCCGAAACAAACAAAGTTTCGTGATATGGATGCCACTGACAACTAGTAACCTATTCAACAAGTTCAATTGCCGTGTTCGATCAATTGGAGGCTAAACTATACTTCTCGTTTGTGACCTCGAAAAGTTTGCAATTCTTGCATCATTCTTATATCGTATAGTTTTATAAGTTGGTCACGTCCACAAGTTGCCAGCCAATAACCATTACGATTCCATCTTACTTTTTCAACTGTATTTTTATGACCATGTAAAGTTGTCAAGTTGCGACCAGTTTTGGCATCCCAAATTTTAACTAATGAATCCTATACAACCAAATCAAACCAATTACTTTGATAATGAACTAGCGACATGCCTTGGAGCCTGAAGCAATAATAGGAAATTGAGGGTGCCATTCAATGCAGCGTACATCCCTTTATAAGAAAATCAGACGACTACTTCATATCATTCATTCATCTTCCTACCAGCCATGTCCTTTCAATTGTCTTTCTTCATCACACGCTGTAAAGTCCTTTGCCTCTGCAGTTCTCAAAAAGTCCCATATCTTTATAGTGCCATCATCAGAGCAAGTAGCAAACTTCAAGTCCGAAACTGCAAAAGTAATATCTCTTAAAAGAATAAATATAACATAGAATTGGCATAAGTGAGAAGCTTTCATACCTAATGGCCTCCTCATGAGCTACAAAAGCTTTCAAGTTGTTCATATTTGATTGCCAATATTTTACAATTCCTTTGTGATCTCCAGTGAGCATCCAATTTTCATCATGGCTCCAAATCATAGTCCTGACCTTCTCCGGTGTGTTTAGAAGGGCTAAAAAAATAGTTTTAAACATACTGCCGAGTCATGAGCTTGAAGTATGGTCTCAAAATTGAAGGTAAAGCCATTCCATAAAGTAAACTCGCCAGTGCTCGCACCTAACATTCTGTGAAACACATCTTCAACAACAAAACAAACTTCCGACCTGTAATAAGTCGACGACCTTCTGGAGTCCAACGACAAGTATTAATAGGACAGCGGACTTTGTTGATCGAAGTATGTACAAACTTGGTACAAACAGAAGAAATTGGCATATTATCCATATAAGGTGCTTGTGGTGGCAATAAATTGGGAATATACTCCGCCGTGGGTTGTAAAGTCTTTTCTCTTTAGATTTAGAACTTGATGGATTACATCTACTTACGGGAACATCTTTTTCAGTTTCTTGACCAGGCTATAAAAATGAGGAAGATTTATAAACTGCAGGCATAAACTTACTCTATCCAACATCCAACGCATTGAGGAATTGTTAAAGTCGACAGTTCTTCTCACCACTGCTTTCCGCATTCGCTTCCCATCAAATATTTCCCTCGAAGCCTACGTTGATCAGTCCATACAATTAATAGAGAAAGCAGAGTAACTTACAGGAGCTTTCGCATAGTGAGGTTGTCTAGTTTCCATGTATGCGGAGTCATTTGGCGTTGACATGCTTTCCCTCAACAACTGGGAATTGACGCAATTTTGACGCAGAGAAGAAGGAATACCAGTTGTAGCAAACGATTATTTTCATTTGCCATAGATGGATCCTGTAAAAGTGGTCGAGGAACAATTTCAACGGCACGATTTTGATTCTGACGAAAGATGGAAAGTGTTTAGAGACAACGCTTTGACGACTGGATCTGAGGAACATTTAAAACGAGTTTACTTCAGGCGCTATGTCAACCACGAGCTTCCCTTGAGAAATAGCCAAACAGCCCAAAACAATCAAGAAACTTTGTCGACGAGTTCTTCTCCAGACACTCCAGACTCATCCTCCGCAGGTCCTTCGTTGAATTGGAGAAGTGTTGTCAATTACGCGCGATCACTGTTTTCCAGAGATTTTGTCCAGCATATGAGAAGGTTCACAAGTTCAAATTCTCTACCGAGAGCTATTTCTACCTTGCTTTGTTTGCTACAATTATTGACTATCTGGAAAGCATTCTTATTTCTGTTAGACCAGAATAAGAAAAATTTCCTAGCAGCCTTTCAATTTGCGTTTTTCGCCAACATATGTTCATTATTGCAGGTTGTTGGAGTAAGTTGAGCGTCTCCAGAGTGTAATGATCTTTGACACGTGCTAAGGTTCCTCAAATAAGTAGGCAGTGGTTCCAGAGTCTTGTCTATCATGAGGACTTTGCCTTCATATTATATTGTTTTGTTCAACGCTCAATCACGCCACCGAGCACAGGTATGTTGTTTCTTGCACTAGTGACATTGATTATTTGAGACTTTATTAGTTTCTCTCATTCCCATTGCCTGCCGTGCAACGGTCTCGGCTTGTGAACTCTTATCGACTTTGCTTCCTTCTATCACTCCCACTTTATATTATAGCCTTGCTGACCTCTTTCAGTTCATTTTGCACAGTAGAGACACTATTTATCTACTTTCAGCCATTACGGAAATTATCCTGTTCCCTGTTATTCTTTTCCGATCCATCCAGTAAGTGCTAGCAGATATACTTCAAATGGAGCAGTTTACTAAAGTGATATCTAGAGTTCCACAAAATCTGTTTAGTCTATTTCCTTATTCTTTTTTCTTAAGATTGCGTTTCAACTTTTCATCACATGCACAACTTGCATGGAGAATAGTAGATAGTCGTTTGGAGCCGCTAGTCCAGAATTATATGCCGTTAAGCTGGAGACCTTACTATTACCGTTTGAAAAATTTCGTTCGAGGCTTAAGTAGGCTTCGATAGAATTTTATAGACACTTTTGAAACATGGAACGAAGTAAATCTATCAACATTTGTTTGCTCTAGTAGCAGTGTGTGAAAGGGATCAGCATTTACATACAAGTGTCTCAGAAGCTCACACATTTTAAACTAGAAATACTCTGTAAATGGTTCATGCAAATTTGTGAACAAATAAGAAATAACTTTAAACCAAAAGTTTATGAAATTTCATCCAACCCAATTGACTTCCCAATCAGTTAAGAATAATATCTTCTCACTGAAGTGCCGATGCAGCTCCCACTATTTCTGCGAGTTCCTGTGTAATTGCAGCTTGACGGGCTCGATTCAATTCAAGTGTCAATGTTTTCTGAGTTTCAAATAAATATGTATATAGAAAGAAAAACAACAAAGCGTCCTCACCGCCAACTCCTTTGCATTGTCCGATGCTGAAGACATTGCGCTCATTCGACTCGCCAACTCTGATGCAAATGACTCTTGAAGAGTTCTTAAAATCTGCAGCCAATAATTGAGTATTTAAAACACGATATGCAATAACCTACTTGGCCATTAAGATAAAGTGGTAAAATAGCACTCAGGATTTGCAAAGGATCTTGCTCAAAAATCATATCTCTGGGAAAATCTCGTGGTTCAGACCCAGGTATCTGAGACCTCTCCAACTGGAACTTTCCACCTCTTGTTCTCAACTGAAATATTTCATCACCCTTTTTAAATATGTTGAGATCGGAAATTTTCAGCCTTAAACGAAAACTACCTTTGACTCTAAACCTGAGGGATTCAAGGGAAGCAAGGTGCGAATGGAAGGTTGCGAAGATATCAATGATACAAAGCGGGTGTATAAGAGTTCTACTCGGTCCACTTCACCAGATAAAAACTCAGCCAGTAGATACTCTGATATCTCAGTTGCGCTCTCTGCTGTTGGAGACTGTCCTACTCTCAAGTATTTTCGAATAGGGTATCCTCTCCTTTTGAAGAACTGATATCCTTTCGCACCAATACAAACGAGCTCTGCATTAATACCTTCCTTCTTCAGTTCCGCCAGCCTGTTTTCGGTCCTTTTTATAATATATGAATTGTACGAACCACAGAGTCCTCTGTCTCCAGTAATTACAACCAAAACCAAGGTATGAGGGGTTCGCTCCTTCAACAACGGTAAATCTACCAACTCTTTCTTCAATCTTAAAATTAGCCCTCCTAGAACCTAGAAACAGTTCATATCAAGCCAAAACCCAAAACAGTAGAATACCTTTTGAAGATTCTCCGAAAAAGGGCGCGTACTCAACACTGCCTCCTGAGCTCTTCTTACTTTGGCTGCAGCAACTAGTCTCATGGCCTCTGTTATTTTCTGTGTATTCTTTATCGAGCTTATTCGACTGCGAATGGTCACAAGCTTTCCATCCATGTCAACGTTAAGGACACGCGGAACACAAGTTGTGTGCCGGAGGGTCCTGTATGTAAAGCACGAACGATGTCTTCTGCAACCAAACGCAAAACTTCAAAAAAAACTCTATAAGCTACCTTTAAAAATATGGTCAAACCTACCAAGTTCCTTCTTGTCCTCTCAAAGCCTTTCCAGAATAGAAAGAGTTTAATAGGAATGCTACTTCACTGAACATGACACCAAAATAGCAATCACAGAAAATGGCTATGGAGAGCACAATAGCAATCTTCTCTCATGGCGGAGGTTGGTTTTCAGGGAAAATGTGATAACAGAAACCTTTCCATAATCAACATTTCCTTCGCAAATAAAGAAATTATTTTGGTAGACTTGAACACAAAACGTTTGAAATTTTGAAATCCACAGTACGTACTGGTTTAAAAAGTGCCACGACTATTCTACTCAAGAAACGACATTTCTCAGCAGATGAGTTTATTCTGCAGAAATACAGAGACTTGCAGATGCATATGTTTGATATCTCCAACAAAAACATTTCACATAAATATGAAAATATTAACAATTACATGTCCGCTAAACACAATACGAGACCAACATGTAACCAAGATATGAGTTCTGCAGACTTCTTAATGGCGAAACCTTAAAAAGTCAAAATAACTTTTACAATATCTACATATTGGTGTGTATCAATCCTCAAGATAGTTGCAAAGGTCGATTTCGAATATAAAAGTCTCCTGACTACCTTTGAAACGTAGCATACCGGAACGAGCAATCCGTATGGAAACACTGAAAACCAAGGCAAAGTCTTACGACTACAGATTTAACCATAAGTACCTGTCGTAAATAGACTAAAAAAACTCTACGTCTGACAGTAAACAAATTGTTAGCCAAAACTAACTTCGGGGCTTAGTCAACAGGCTATCTTCCTGCGTCACACGGAACTGTGGAGTAGTATCTGAAACGGATACGTATACCTTCCACTGACCACTTTCGACGCCTCCTCGATACTCTAAACGTTCTATAACTGTAGCAGGTAAAGTATTTATGAGCTCTTTCAACTTGTCCCTCGGTAACGAGACAAACTCGCTCTTCTTCAAAGGCTTGACACTGACCGCAACTGACCGCTTCGTTTCAGCTCCCTTTCTAATATTCCTCTCTCTCGACGAATTTGTTTTTGCACTCTTTTTTGATTCTTTCTGATGTATCTCAACAACTCTTTTATTAGATCCATTCACAACTCTTGTTAACCTTCTGGTAACTACCATGCAATCAAAACAAAGAATGAATTGCTTTCAATCTCCTGAAACAAAAGAATCCCAGTCCTACATACGCCACAAACCCCCAAACCTTATTTGTACTATGGACAATATGTTAGTTTTGCTATTGACAAATCAACCATTCTATAGTTCGAATGACCGTCTTTTTCAAAACTTATTAAGCCTTTTCTTAATATTTTCAACGCAATGTCGCTGGTCAAACGGTATTAACTTTCAAAATTTGTTGAGTTTCCATGGCTTGATAGCTTTAGAGACACCGAATATATACCGTCACCTACTCTGCATACAAAAGTGTATGCTATCTTGCTCAACTGAAACACATTTGAAACAAAGAAAACCACCACAGTTGCAACAACATGCAAAAAGCCAAGAAGCAATCTGTTTCCTTTCCCAAACGAAACGATAAGCACACTCGACCACTTTATAGGAACAGAAGACTCTTCTTGTCTCGTGGAAGACTCAAGACACCAATCTGTTCCATTATGCAAAACTCCTTCTCTGTGTCTTTCTAGTACTAGATTTCTCTCCCCTTCTGTTAAAAGAATTTTCTCAGTGTCCTGTAACCACTCTGCAATAAGTGCACTCTTTTCGATAATGAACGTCTTTTCACAGGAAGAAACTACAACATTTGCGTCCTTCCCAGCATTTGCTTCGACAAGAGGCATCTTTAACTTTTTACCCCCCAATTCTCTTGTGACTGTCGGTCCACCAATAGCAGGAAAGTCAAAGCTAAAAAGAAAAAGTTTGGGGAAAGACAAGTTCAAGGAAAATATACTGCACTGTACGTGTGGTCGCAAGTAAGCAGGAAAGCGAGGGCCATTTCCGTTTCCCAAAAACCGTCCAACGCGAACAGCTTTTTTTAGTTGAGCTCCAACAAAACTTTTGCAACTTGCAGGAAATACCAAAAACGATAACGCCATCTCTTCTTCTTAACTACACTAATAAATTTTGGTATCTATGACTTCTGACTTGGTTCCCTTTAGGTATGAATTTCTGAGACTCGTTTCTTCAACCAAAAGGTTCCGAAATTTTCCAAATTTGTTCTTCAGAATCTTGCAATGGTTTCGTATTCCTTAGTCTTGAACGCACAGAATATTCTTAATATATATCTATAGAATTCACCGAAAGCAGTTGATAAAGATTCGGTGTTCATCTAACTTAGAATTTTATCCTCCATAGAACAATTAGATTATTTAATGGTATTTGGCTTTGTTTCTTTTCTACCATCGAAGGTGGCCTTTGGGTGTCATACTGTTATTTCGACGCTAAAGGGTCTGCGCATTACTTTTCTTGTTCCAACTCAGCTTAGTAGAAAGAACACAAGCAGTCTAAGAAATTTTTCAACGACTATTCGAAAGCAGCATATTTGCCTGGACGCTTCACAAGAGATGGCGAATATGAAGAATTTCAAGATAGCGCTTTGTCAGATTTTATCTTCGGACAATAAAGATGCCAATATATTGAAAGCCTTGGAGGCAGTTGATGAGGCAGCTAAAAGAGGAGCTGAACTGGTTGTTCTTCCAGAGTGCTTCAATTCTCCTTATGATAACTCTGCTTTTCTCTTGTCTATGCTGAAGAAATTCCTGAGCCCGGAGCGTCGATATCTGAAAAATTCAAAACTTGCTTTGCACTTTCAGAAGCAGCGAGGAAGAATCATGTTTACCTAGTCGGGGGTTCTATCCCGGAAAGAGATGGCTCCAAACTGTACAACTGTTCCCCAGTGTTTTCTCCAAAAGGAGAGTTACTTGCCAAACATCGCAAAATTCATCTCTTTGATGTCGACGTTCCAGGTGGAATTCGTTTCTTTGAATCAGAAACTTTATCTCCTGGTAACTGCATTACTGTTGTGAGGACTGAGTTAGGAAATATTGGTGTTGCAATTTGCTATGATATCCGATTTCCAGAGTTATCCATGGCAATGGCACGAGAAGGTGCCTGCATACTTTGCCTTCCGGCAGCTTTCAACATGACTACAGGTCCGGCTCACTGGGAATTGTTGATGCGTTCTCGTGCACTCGACAATCAGATGTACGTTGCTGCATGTGGACCTGCTAGAAATGAAAGTGCAAGTTATCAAGCTTGGGGTCATTCGATGATAGCAAGTCCTTGGGGAGATATTGTCATTAGCACGGAGTTTCAAGAAGTAGGTGTTTTTGGGTACTATTCTTGTAACGTAATGATTAAGAAACTCAAATAGGACCTTCTCATTTCAGAAGTGAAAAAGGAGCTTGTGCAAAAGACAAGGGTTTCGATTCCCCTCTCTAAACAGCGTCGCTCCGATTTGTATGAGCTTCAATATTCTTTGAAATCAATGTAAGAATTGTTCAAAACGCAAAGTTTCTTTGTGATAGCAAAATACTTTGTAATCGTGAACAAACAACCAGCTTTTGGATATCGAACTATTCCATTGGCCATCTCTCATTCAGAATAGTGAAAGGCAATGGTTTTGCACTTTTCAAAAACTACAAATACAAAAACAACTTCATTCACGAGAAAACAAGTTAGAGTGCGTTTTCACTTTACGCAGCCTTTGCTTTCTCCTTTGGAATTGCACCCTCCAAAACCATTCTACACGCTTTTGTAATATCTTCGATGGAAGGCTTTGCCAATGCCTCAATGTTCTCAGCATATGGCATGGGAACATCAGCACCAGTCACTCTTTGCATTGGTGCATCCAAATAATCGAAAGCATCGCTTTCAAAAATACTTGCTGCAATCTCTGAGCCAACTCCAAAGAAGGGAAAGCCTTCCTCAACTGTTACAAGACGATGAGTTTTCTTAACTGATCTAATAATGGTTCCCCTATCCATAGGTCGAATTGAACGAAGATTGATAACTTCACATTCTATGCCCTCTGATGCAAGTTTATCTGCCACTTGCAGGCAAAAACCAACCAGTTTGGAAAATGACACCATAGTAAGGTGGTTTCCTTCGCGCATAATCTTCGCTTTGCCAATTGGAATTAAGAAATCCTTGCTTAGAACTTCGTCGCTTAGATCAAACGCTTTACCATACATAATTTCATTCTCTAGAACCACAACAGGATTATCATCTCTGATCGCAGACTTTAAAAGACCCCGACAGTCTTCTGCGTCATAGGGAGCAACTACCTTTAAACCAGGTACGGCTCCGTACCAAGCAGCATAGCACTGAGAGTGTTGTGCTGCTACGGCCGCAGCAGCTCCATTAGGACCTCGAAATACAATAGGAACTTTGATCTGGCCTCCGCACATATAATGCGTCTTCGCTGCTGAGTTGATGATCTGATCGATGGCCTGCATTGCAAAGTTAAAAGTCATGAACTCACAAATAGGTCGCAACCCATTAAACGCAGCTCCTACAGCCAAACCAGTGAAACCCTTAAAAGTAAAGTTAGAACCTCCCTTTCAGTCATCAATTCACCCAACCAACCATCTCCGAGATCGGAGTATCAACTATGCGCCTAGAACCATACTTTTCGTACAAACCTCGGGTAACTTTGTATGCACCTTGATATTGTCCTACCTCTTCTCCAATGATGCAGACTCTCTCGTCCCTTTCAAGCTCTTCATCAAGAGCACTGTTTAGGGCGTCACGACACATAACCTGAAGGATGGTTCAGTGTTGCATCCAAAAGCACACATGATTACAAACATTAGAAGCTTGAGAAAGACTTGTTAAGTGAAAATGTCGACAAGAACCTCTCGGCTCGTTGAGTAAAAAGTTTTTTAAACCGGTTCTGAAGATTTTGAGATATTTGGCACTCATCTTAATAGAAAAATCAATAATGAACTGTGTCAATTGTGCTGTATTTCATATTATTTTTATAAAAGCTTCTTATGAACTTTTATTTTCCAGTTGAAGAGATACTTTCATGTATATGGCAATTGTTCATAAAATGATGCAAGAAGATATAACTGAAAGCTAGCTTCTTCTTCTCATTTGGAAATGGCTTTCATTTTGTCGTGTTCTGGCTGTTTTTATGGAGCCATATGGTATTCGAAACTGAAGTTCTCAAGTTTTCATTGTGCTTGGGTCGAAGGGAAACGGAAACGCACCTTTTTTGAAAAGCAAAAAGGGGTGAAGTCTTCTTGTTATGGTTTGTACAACCTCACGAAAGCTCCCATGCGTACGTTGCAGTCTTCTTTCTTTGCTCGCTTAGAGGATAAAGAGGAAGAGCATAATTCTAGTGAACCCAGTAAAGGCAACTCAAATGAAGACGCAGAAAAAACTGGTCAACATGAAAATAAAAGTGGTGAAGATGAGGCAACTCTTGAGGAAATGGACCGACTGGCAGAAGAGTGGATTGGTCAAGATCTTTCACGCTGGTATACCTATAGAAAATTTCAGGCGTTAAGAAATAAACTTCTAAAGCAAGAAGAAGAGGAGGAGTTAGATACTCAGAGAGAATACGAAGAGTTGTATGCAAATCTGTTGATGTTCGGGAAGGTAATAGGCTTTCCGTTGGTGAATGAGGAGACCGGAAAGATAAACTTATACGGATATATGGTCATGATATTGTTTCTGTTGCTTCCACTGGTTGTTGTTTGGTATCTTGGTCAAACAATATCTTCAGGAGTGGACTGGATAATCCAACATCAGAGTCCTTTTTAAGTTCACACATTTCTTTATTCTGTCAGCGTCATTGGTAGTCTTTATTCTTAAATTTGGTTTTCATGTACATTTCTGCCGCCAGACTCTGATCTTTTCTGCTCGAGCACAGAACGTAAATTTTGAGGGCAATAAAGAGTTCGAATTCAGTTATATGACGTCGACGTTCTTATGTGCTGGCTACTCATTTTACTAGTTACAGTGAGGATTTTATAGATTGAACACACTCAATCGTAACTTTGCAGATATTGCTCATTTAGATACAAAATGGACATGGCATCTCTAATTCCATAATAGAATATATTTAGTTTTTTTTGCAACAAGGATACTGTGTCAAATACTACTCCTATGAGAAATATTGCCAAGGTGCTGGGACGAAAAACTCTTTGTAATACAGAAATGTTTCAAGAAAAAACTTTCCGCTGGTTAGAGTCTTGAACCGGAAAATAAAAGGATCTATTGATCACAAAGAGAATGTTTTAAAAGTCAAAGGATTCTGCAGATAATTCAACGATAGCCAAACGTACGAAGGGCTTCCATTTATCCAATTGAAATCATTTAAGGCAGTTGGAAAACTGTTTTTGGGTAAGTTTACAACGCTTAGTTTGTTTTCCAAATGTAATCGAACAGAGATATTGTAAAGAGTGCAATACTTAGATAACCGCTACCTTAAGAATACTGGCCATATCAAATTGAAACTTGAAGATGTCCTACAAGTTTACTAAAGCAGTGATTTCACACTTACTCTTCTTCATCTTCAGCAATTTGGAACCAGGAAAGCCTCTTCTATGATTCTATCTATCTTTCAAGTTTGAGAATCTTTAGTCTGTGAGTAAGACCTCTGAGGGATAAACTGGTCTGTCCAATGGAATCATTGCCTTCCTTTCAGGGTCCTTCGACAGCGACTTCCTCATATCTAAAGCAAGTGAGCACTGAAGTTTTACATGTGAGCCCAACTAACCAAACGCATCTTCTTCTCCAGAGTAATATCCAATAATGCGTCGATAAACAATATAGCCCAGCTTCTTGTACATCTCGATTGCCCTGTGATTACTGACTCGAACGAATAAATCGACAAAGTACCCTTGGTAACTAAGTAGTTGTTTGTCACTCCATAAATTTCTTAAAAAAATTCCTACACTTTCTCGGAGACGTTTTCTAAGATCTCCATTAACAAAGAGGCCAAACCCATACGTCGAAACCAGGGAGCCACAGTCACAGCAGACACGTGACCGTGAAAGAGGTCACCTGCACCTTCAGCTTTCCCAATTACTAAACCAGTTCAAAAGGAGAAACTTATAGTGATACTAGCATACTCACTGTACGCAACTGTAGTCGACTGCGAATCAGTAACCACATATTGATAGTCAGGCCAACGGGCAAGGTAGTTGAAATAAAACCCAAGATTGAACTGTGAAAGTTTAAGCTGTCGAAAAACCAGTCTCCACAACTTACAGTCTCTGTTAACTGATCAAGATTGACGCTATTAAAGTGTAAAAGGTCTTCGGCACTCAATCTTCTTATAGTTGTCATATTCTGGACTCCACAAATCACCGTCTTCATAAAAAAAAAAAAGAGAGATGGGAAAAGCGCATCGTCCTGTAGACAAATGGCAACCGGCCGTCCATTTTTTTAAGGAAAAAAAGGATTTCTCAAGTTTGAAAGGAAGACCTGGCTATCCAACACGTTCTCGCAATGGCTGGAGTTCCCAGACCGGACCGAAAAGGAAGTGTATATGGTAACGCAGCTCGACCTCCAAAAGGAGGTACTCCCACTGCTGCTCGCTTTACTCGTAAGCAGGAGAAGAAGCGGAGTCTTGAAGAGCCTTATAAACCTTCAAAGTCAGACTTTACGGAGTATATAGTGAAGAACGAAGAAGAGGCTCTTATGAGTGGTGGTTCAGACCCAATCATGGATCCTTTAGTCTTGTTAAGACGCATACCTTCGCGCATACAACCTGTTCACGTAGCATATAGAGTCAGAAAATCTGCTCTATTTCCTGCGTCATCCTGGAGAGAGGGTTTGATAGAAATTCGTGGACGCTGGTTGCTAATTAGAAGTCTTCCAGTAGCACCATATCAAGCAAATCTGGGAAAACTCAGAAATAGTAGCACAGAAAGTCTCGAGTCGCTTGACGAAGGTTCTGCCCTACAGTTTGACCGTGGTGAAAATAAGTTCCTTGAAAATGGATTTCAATTGAAGGCAGAAATTGACAAGTCTCAAAACACAGACAATCTAAGAATAAGACTAGCGTTACCTCTTATTCAGACAGAGGTCACTCTGGCATCTTCAACTACAGTTAAGGTGAAAATACGAGATTCCTCTTTGGAAGAGGCAAGAGAGGAAGACACGTTCAAAACCAGATTCACGATGACAAGAGATGGTTTTGCGGCTGATGGTGCGCTTATTTTACATGCAGGAAGGGTATACATTCGAACTGCCTCGGTAGAAGAGGCAAATTCTGTTGCAGAAGCATTGTCTTTGGTTAGTAAGGCTTCATTACCGAGTGTACAAGACTACGAAGTTTTGGCACCCATAGGGAAAGGTGCATCCGGTTCGGTGCATTTAGCGAAAGATATGAAGAATGGTGAATATGTAGCAATCAAGATAATTGATAAAGCTGCTGTCTTTGAGTCAAATGGCGCTGCGCGACACACGGCAGATGAACGTTTGCTTTTGCAGTTAGCAAGCGAGCATCCATTCATATTGCATTTGCAGTCTGCATTTCAAACGAAAGAGAAGCTTTATCTTGTAACTGAATTTTGTGGTGGAGGAGACTTGTTCTTTTTCTTACATCATAAAGGCTCTCGTCGTATAGCAGAAGAAAAAGCCAAAAGGATAGCCGCAGAGATTATTTTAGGCTTGGAGCATATTCATAAGCTTGGATTTGTATATCGTGACCTTAAACCAGAGAATGTGTTTTTAGATAAGGAAGGACACGTGAGACTTGCAGACTTTGGACTTTGTCGTTATTTAAGAGGTGCTCCACATAGAAAAGCTAATTCATTTTGTGGCACAAGAGCTTATATTTGTCCAGAGATGCTACGAAATCAACCATATGGCTACTCTGTCGATTTATGGACCTTGGGGGTTCTTCTGTATGATATTTTATGTGGCAAGTCACCTTTTTATCATAAGAATCGTGCGGAGATGTATAGAAGAATTCAACGGCTTCCTATAACTTTCCCAGATGGATTGTCTTCCGAGGCCCGCTCATTGATTCTTGGTTTGTTAGAACGCGACCCAGCTGAACGTCTTGGTTGTGGTCCAGAAGGAATAAGTGAAGTAAAACAGCATCCTTTCTTTAAGGATATCGATTGGGATGAAATACTGAAATGTGTTCCAAATGAGAACAATCTCTTTGCAGGCGTCACTGCGGAAGGAGAGGAAGCATCTGATTCGGAAGATACAAAGTCACTTCTGAAGAATTTTGACGTTAACTATATTGCCAATCGTTCTGTTTGTCCTGTAGAAGGGCATGCAGTGGGGAAGAATGGAGAAAAGGTTTCTTCTTCCAACAAGAAGGACGAGAGTTTAGAAGAGAGAAGCAGTGCCCGTCGAGTTACAGGTCATGGCTTTCATGCGTTTGAAAATATTTTTCGTCCTTTAGTTAAGGGAGTCGAGGCAGCAATAAGTTCCGTAAACAAGGAAAAGAGTCCAGTATTGCTTGGCTTTGAGTTTGATAAGGAATTCGATGCAGTTTCTGCTCGCTTGATTCATTCTTCAAGTTCGCAACACTTTTCAAACCACCAATCTTCTTTTCCAAACCTCCGCCAACTCATCAAATCAGCATCGAGTATTACGATTGGTTCATAGTTATTTGTTCTTTTTAAATATTTATCCTATTGTATTTTTTTTGGATGATTTGATTTGATGTAACATAGTTGTCATTTGCATACTTTGTCCAATTTGCTAGTGCCATTTTGTTAGTAAAAATTGAAGATATTTAACAAGTTATTGTTGAGAAGATGGGAGCCTTTCGCAAGACCCTGTTGTTTGTTGGTGGTAGTGTGCTTGTGGTGGGTGCCTTGGGAGCAGCCATAATAGGAACCTCTTCCAGCGCAGCGCCATTCGCAAGAATCGACGAAAGCTCCAACAACGGAAAATATGCTGTTCGCTTGCCACCGTTGGAGAGTGTTCCTCCCAGACAGAAGCAGTTGGAGAGTTTGCGATCTTATAGTCAAGAACAGAATTCGTTGGATATTCTGGTCATTGGAGGAGGTAAGAAACTTTGACTTTGTATTGTTTTGTTCTTATGCACTAAAACAGGAGCAACTGGGTCGGGAGTTGCTCTTGATGCTGCCCTTCGTGGACTTTCCGTTGGTCTTGTAGAGCGGGACGACTTCGCTTCAGGAACGTCTTCAAGAAGTACAAAACTTATTCACGGTGGAGTTCGCTATTTAGAGAAAGCTTTTTTCAATTTAGATCCAAAGCAGTTGGGTCTTGTATTTGAAGCACTTCATGAGAGAGCCATTATGCTGAGACAAGCACCTCACTTGACGCATCCGTTGCCAACCATTCTTCCTTGTTATCAGTGGTGGGAAGTTCCTTTTTACTGGGTAGGTCTGAAGTTTTACGATGCCATAGCCGCAATGGGTCATGGCAGCTTGTATCTTTCAAAATATTATTCGTCTGCAGAAGCCAGAAGATTATTTCCTACACTTTCACCGTTACGAGCAGATAAGAAACCGTTAAGAGGAGCTATTGTTTATTTTGATGGTCAGATGAACGACGCTAGAGTAAACGTTTCTGTAGCCTTAACTGCTGCGCTTTATGGTGCTGCAGTTGCGAATCATACGGAGGTCACTGGACTCTTGAAGAATTCAAAAAATGGAAAGGTCAATGGAGCAAGAGTAAGAGACCGCCTAACTGGAGAAGAGTTTGATATTCATGCCAGAGTGGTTGTCAATGCCGCTGGTCCTTTTTCTGACTATATTCATCATATGGTCAATCCAACATCTTCTGATATTATCGCACCAAGTTCAGGAGTACATGTTACGTTACCCTCGTATTATTCACCAGATGGAATGGGATTAATCGTTCCGAAGACGAAAGATGGTCGGGTTGTTTTTATGCTTCCATGGTTAGGTTCCACTATAGCTGGAACGACTGACTCGTCGACTGAAATCACGGAACTGCCTCAACCACATGAAGACGAGATAGCATTTATTTTAGAAGCAATTCGTGATTATTTGAACGTTCAAGTAAGAAGAGAAGACGTGAAGTCAGCATGGAGTGGAATTAGACCCTTAGCAAGAGATCCAAGGGCAAAAGATACACAAAATATTTTAAGGGATCATTTGGTCTTTGCCTCGCCTGAAGGCCTGGTTACTGTTGCAGGTGGAAAATGGACTACTTACCGAAGAATGGCTGAAGATACTGTCGATAAGGCTATCCAAGTTGGACAGCTGAAGCCCCAAGATTCATGCAAAACTCCATATGTTCAACTGATAGGCTCTCATTCTTGGGACCCTTCCTATTTCACTTTTCTAGTGCAGAACTATCGACGCCTCAAATACACAGTTTCCAAGTCGATGAGTCCATCCATCGGCGAGTTGGATATTGATTGTGCAAAGCACCTGAGTACTTCTTATGGAGATCAAGCCTATAAAGTATGTGAACTAGCACAGCAGGGATGGGGGAAGCGGCTAGTTCATGGTTATCCAGTTTTAGAAGCAGAAATTGTGTACTGCGCTCAAAACGAATATTGTTTTACAGCAGCTGATTTTCTTGCAAGAAGATGCCGTTTGGCGTTTTTAGATGCTGAAGCAGCGAACCAGGCTTTACCGCGTGTTGTAGAAATTCTTGGAGATATTTACGATTGGAGCAGCAGGAAACGGGAAGAAGAGTTAGAACAAGGAAGAAGATTTCTTGCCTCTTTCCTTGGGGGAAGAACAGAACCGAGATTGAAGCAGGTTACATGACCCAATTATACTTCCTGTACGTTGTCTTTATTCATCGAGATCCACTTTCTTAGCGCATACAAACTATCAGGTGTAAACTGCTTATGTTTTCCTCCTTCAGCATCTTGTAGAATTTCTTTTATAGTCATTAGTTCCACGCTTTCTACCTCGGACTCTTGAAGAGTCAAGTCTTCAGGAACACGTCCTTCGAACCGGCAGGTCCAAAAGTCACCCCAAACCGTTGTATGACTATCTCGGAAGAAGAAAGAAAAGCAATGCTTCAAGGGACTGTGTATGCCTAGTTCTTCAAAAAGTTCTCTCTCAGCGCACTCTTCTTTACTTTCTCCAAAACTGTTCACACCACCTGCAGTCACCTCATAATAACCTGGACAATAATCCTTGTGTTTCGTTCGTTTCTGAACAACTATTCTATCATCAGAACTGAAAACCAAAATGTAGGAGGCTCGGTGAGGAAGATTTTGGGCTCTCATTTCCTTTCGCAAACAAGAGCCTAATATATTGTTATCCAAGTCAACCAAAAGGACCTTTTCATCATTCGACATGCAGCCAACATCGTTGTTCGGAGTACACATTGCCAAATAAGAAATTCTTCATCCATTTTAGAAAAATCAAACTTTACTTTTGTCCACTTTCAGCACTGAAATGAGATACATCCAAAGATTTACCAAAGATCTAAATTAACTAAGTATCACACGAAATAGTAGATCTTTTATCCGCCTACCTTTTCATAAATTTCAAAGACATCATCCATAGTGCTTTCAAAGTGTGTCGTTGCATCGTAACTCTTCGACAGGAAAATATTGTCCTGGTGAGAACTTTCCAAAGGCTCGTATATATCATCCACTGAATAGAACTTTTCCAAAACGCTGTTACCCAAAAGTTGTATCCCTGGAGTGACTTCATCTTTGGGTTGGTTGGTTTCCACTGTGGTGGATACCAAGGCAATATAGAAGCCTTGAGGACATACTCGATGGTTATATGATAATACCAAAACATAAATATTTGATCGACGAGGAGGTGATACTTGTCGATGTGGAATGATTATTTGACACGAAGATGCATCTTTGGTATGAGGTGGCGCTTCCCTCAATATACAATAACAGCGAATAACCTGGATTACAGTCTTTCACCTTCAACTAAAAAAATAAAATAAATTACCTTTCCGACGGGTTTAGCCTTTTCTGGAAAATAACTCGGATCCGCTACAATGAAACGACAACTTGCATATTCCTCATTAGAATACACTCCACAAACTTTCCCTTCTGGATTGTAGTCAATTTTGTCAACTCCTCGATTCAACATATAAGTTCCTTTAAAAAGCGTCATAAAAGCGAATTTCATATATAAGGAGCACTACGAACCTCCATATACTGCACTTAGTCTTGCAAAGGCTTGAGGTAACTCACCCAATCCATAGAGAGGGTAAATATACGGAGAATGACCATATCGTGCCAAACTATTGGCATAAAGCTGTATTCTTTCAATTGTTGGTAAAGCAGGGAGCTCAAGATATGAGTCATCCTTGTAAAGCGCAAGAGCATGTCCAATAAAATCGATCGTTTCTTGTCTCAAACCAAAATATTCAAAAACTTGACGCATAGTATTATTCTTTAGGTCAAGACTACCAAACGTTCCAGGATCCCCCACAGCCACGTCTTGCACATAGGAAAAAAACTGTCTACAACGATTCTTTTCCAACAAGCTCATTAAACCCGATGTCATAGCTTCTCTTGGAGTTACGGGAACTTTATGTGGTTTTCCTCCATGCACCACAAAACTACCATCGACTAGTTTAAACTCAAGGTATTTTGTCACCTGCGTACAAGTCAAAATACGAACCAAGTTTCCACTTGACAAAATAAACTTGGGAATCAAGTCTATGTTATAGTCTCTTGACCGTCCTAGCTTGGCACTATCAGGCTCAGAGTCACTTTTCAATTTCTCATATAGCTGGTTGAGGCTTAAACTAGCACAGGCGCCACCGTAGTAACTATTTCGATCCATGTGAAGCACTTTGTATCCACTCACTGAAAATATACCAGATAAGATACACTCCGTGAGACCTGTTCCCAGAACAACAACGTCATAATTGCCATCTGCTAGTTTCTTACTAGTTGGCTTCTCGTCAATGGAAATACTGGAAACGCCAGTTTCTATTTGTGACGAATCCATTTTCACACTTCTCTACAATTGTTTTACATTTTTTGGGTTAGTGTTTTGTGGGTGTTCTTGAAAGCAGTTTTTCTTGTTGAGAGCTATGGCAGAAGACGGAGAAAATGATGGTATGGAAATCAAACTGGAAACAGCTCCTCACGATCCTCGTTTCCAAACCACCAACCAAGCGAAGCACTGTTGGTCGAGGTATATAGAGTACCACGCATGTGTGAAACAGAAGGGTGAGGAAGATAGTGAGTGTCAGAAGTTTAAGAGATGGTATAAATCTCTCTGTCCAAATGAATGGGTTTGTTTGGCTATCAGTTGTTTATTGGCAGCAACTAAGCTTTGTATAGTTGGAAAACTGGGACGAGCAGCGTGCAAGTGGTACCTTCCCTGGCCCCGTATAGTTTCCAAGAAGGGATTTGTAGACTGAAGTTCCAATTCTCTTTGTTCAATAAAGTTTTCTTTAGTAGCTTCGGTTCCAAATCAATCCACGTGACCGTTTTGTATTTTAATAACAAGAATCTATACAACAAAGTGGCCCCCTGAAACAAAAACAGCAAGTCAGAAGCTACCCAAAAAAAAGGAGTATTATGGAATGCATCAGAAAACGGGGATTTGCTCTGTTCAAGAACTCTTGCTCGTTCATAAACACGGACCAATACCCAATCATCATTTGTTCACGATAATAAGAACAAGAAGAATATCTGCAACTTACCTATTTACGAACAAAACCAACAAAAAAACGCTATAAAATAATCGAGAAAAAACTACAACTTGAGAGTAGCGACGGTTTCATTCAATTTGGTTTCACCTCAAAATGATGATAAGATACAATTCTTTTGTGTACCTCAACTGCCATTGTGCTTTTTGCGTCGATGCACTCGCTGCACTATAAACATAAGAATATCATTGGACCTAGTCTATCTTAACGCTTGTAAGAGAGCCCTATTTGAAACGATGTTCTCAAACTGTTTCCATAAAAATAAAGTGCAATATTCCCGCAAGTCAAAATGAAAAATACAACTAGTCATTATGTTCTAAAAGTTCGAGACAAATTGTGAAGTGAGATCGAGAGAGATAAAAACTCCATCATATTCAAACGGCCATAGAGTTGGATCGAGGACTGGTTCACCTTTGATGACTCTTATTCCGTCGATGAAAAGCGCTTTACAAGTTGTTTGTAGTGTAAAAGCATTTCTTCCGAAAGTGATGGGCTGAGACGTGCATTAGCATCCAAAAAGTCCTGTTGGCATACTATCACTTCAAGTCCCTCGTTCGATGAGGCAGACTTTTGTGAATACTGTTCATGAATTCGAATTGTTCTCTTAGCTGCAAACAACCACGCATCTGCACAAAGTCCGTACAGATCCGCTCCACTGACAATCTTTGGGCAATAATTTGCTATTGTCATCAAATCTACGTCATCAGACATAATAAACTTTCGAGTCAAAGCAGATAAAACTTCGAAACGGGCTTCTCTTGTCTCAGGTGAGCCCACATAGATAAGCTTGTCAAATCTTCCAGGTCTTAATAGGGCAGAGTCTAACAAATCAGGACGATTGGTGGCACCGACCACGATGACACCTAGAGATGATGATGAGCCCTATCACAAATTTTAATAACAGGATGACCTTCTCGTCAAATCGAACCAAACCTTTTCTTTTGTCTTTCCATTACTGTGCAAATCATCCATTTCTGTTAGCAATTGGCTAACCACTCTGTCCATCACACCGCCACCATCAGAACTCTGACCGCGCATCGGAGCTAAACTATCCAACTCATCGAAAAAGACAACACAAGGTGATGCCTCTCTAGCTTTGGAGAAAATGTCTCGGATGTTCTTTTCACTTTCACCAACATACATATTCATGAGCTCGGGACCTTTCACACTTAGAAAACTACAACCACATTCGTTTGCAATTGCTTTGGCAAGTAAAGTCTTGCCTGTACCCGGTGGACCATAAAAAAGCAAACCGGAACGACGTCGAACCTGTGAAGTGTTTCCATAAAATTCTGGATAGAGAAGTGGCAACTGGATGCTTTCTATAATAAGTTCTCGTACATTAGACAAACCACCGATATCTTTCCAAGTAATCTTCGGTACTCTTAAACTTGTTTTTATGATAGACATATTTGTTCGTTCTTCCATATTCTTTGTTGCTGTCACCACTGCGTCTTCCGAAAGAGCACAAGGGTCCTTTTCTATTCCAACTCTTGTTAAGCAATTCAGTGCAACTTGAGAACACCAAAAATATAACATCTTAGATGAATACGAACGCAATGCCTTGCTATATTTCATCGCAAATTCTAATGAGTTTCTATCAACCATTGGCACTTTATGCAAAAGAGTTTCTAGGTATTGTTTGCGTACATCTTCGCTGGGAACAGAGACCTTGTAAAAATTTGAGTGAAGCGAAACATATATAACGTAGAAGCTCTCACTTCCAATTCATAAACAAATAAAGATCGTATTTGAGGGTCCAAATCCTCTGCTCTCTCACACGTAGCAAATACAATTGAAGAACTATACAATTTGTAAACAAGTGAACAGACGCCTCCTCTCTTTAGCTTACCTTTGTGAATCATTACACTTGAACGAATGTCTATTTCGATGATCCTTCATCAATGCTTCCAGTTTACTCACTAATCTCGTTTTGCAATTGGTTTTTGTAGAGCTCATGCTTATCCTATCAGAACTCATGTCAAGTACATCAAGATTTCGAAGCAATAAAGCACAAGGTTGAAACTCTAAGTATCGTTCATGCAACAAACTAAGGAACTGTTCCAAATGAGAGAAACCGTTATGTTGAGCCTCCATAGATTCAAAAAAGCGCAGGCAATCAATATCAAAAACGGGCAGTCCCAAACTATAGGAAACGTCTTGAACAAGAAAATTCTTACTGTCATTGTCTGAACCGTAAAGCAAAATACCACAACTAAATGTTTTCCACATGATGCTGACAATATTTTCCTTCATTAGATGATTCTCCAAAAGTAACTTTAAACTAGAGAATAATGCTGGATTCATGCATGAAGAGTGTCTCGATAACATTTCCACATTTTCCTTTAAGTGTTGTTCTTGAAGTGCAAACAAATGCAGGTCAAGAGGTATCATTGAGCATACTCCGGAAATTTGCGAAACTTTGGTAAGTTCTGGATCTATTAGAGCTGGTTCTTCAACACAAGTAACAGAGCCAACCAACGATAACTTCTCTACTCGAAAAAAGAAAATCTTCCTACCCATATCTGTTATATAATATTCGTAAAAGTCTATCTTATTCATAAGGGGAACTTTTTCTAGTGCAAGAGAATAATGGCACCATTCAAACAACAGCTCATGAGTTGCAACGATCGCAAAGACTTCACCTTGCCTTAATAGCCTAGGTTTTTGAAAGTATTTCTTCAAGCTGAAACTTACAAAAAGATCTTCCCATTCTTTCAGTGGTTTCGCATTTTTTACTCTTGCGACTGCTATTTCCGAAGCAGTGGGAAGCTTGCGGCTGTACAACGAAAATGGAAAGACATCAGTTGGAGTTAAAGATTTTCTTCTTTGTAAAGTCTCTACGGAAATCAAGTCTGCGCCACGAGTAAAGAAGAATAAACCAGGAGAAAGAAAAGCAACCTTTTTTACGTTGTACGAAAAAGTGTATTCCGAAAGTGTCACATCAAATACAAGTTCAGTAGCCAATATTTTTGCAAATTGTAAAGGTTCAGCGCCCTTTTCACTTCTTTTCCATACCAAGACCCAGCCTCCTGAAGTTATTTGCAATTCACGAAGAACATTTGCAGAAAGAAAAACCAAGTGTCGGACATCTGACAAATTGGGCTGGTTTCTTCTAACGTGTCTATAAGCTTGTAATGGAATTCTCGCTAAAGGAAACCACTTCCTGTTCTCTAAAATATTTCTACAAGTAAAAGTGTCCTTTAAAACGAAAGAGCAAGGACAAACCATATCCATCCTATGTGGCAATCGTTAAAATTGATTACTTGATTTTCGTCTACTCTTTTCTCTCTTCTCCTAAAGACCGATTGTTTTCAATTCTTTCCTTTTTGAATATGATAAAATACCATCTTTGAAGCACTTCCTCTCTATACATACGAATTCACAGTCTTTTATGTCTGGTGTTCTAAGCAAAGCAACAAACTTTGAGAAGCTTTACTTGCCCTTTTCCTTAAAGAGCTATTGGAAGTGGCTTAACCAGAATACCAGTTTTAGTTTCAGGCCTTTTCAAAAACTTGAAAGTTAGGGTTAATGGTTTCATATCCACCAAATTCTTGCAAACAATGGAAGCTATATTTACTCTAAAAAACAACATTAACTTATTCCGCTAAAAAGATGGTTTAGATATCACAGCTATGCAAAACACAAGCAAGTTTGCTTGAAAAAAATTGATTATCAAGTACTGAAAAGTTCGACAAACTTTCCAGTTTATACGAATCTACACGTTATATACAACCAAAAAGTCTCACGTCGAATCCAAACATGAAAACGGCAAACGAAGCAGACCAACCGATTTCCTTTCTTGTCCTTATGCTCGTAAAGTACCCTGAATATGCACTCTACCATCATTTGCCTCGTAGCGGTTCCAAACAACAGGTCCATCCTTTCCAGTCATGGCTCTTTGACCGAATAGATATTGGAATAGGAAACCTATAGCTAAAAATATGGCAATGCAACCAACAACAATATAAAGAATTCCTAAAAATCGATTGGGACCTCCAAGCCAGGTGGTCGTTGATAAAACCAAATATTTCTCACCACCAAAAGATGCCACAGGATATCCTACATAGAGAATAGATAATATTATTATATCGTGACTCTCTTAACAGTTCTTACTTGCTGTAATGTTAAAAATGTATCGACCGGGTTCCAAAGTTCCATTTCGGATAACTCCATACAGTTTCTGGAAATCTGGTAAAGCTGCCACACGCATCCAAACCTATCATTTGTTCACAAAAGTGCTGATCAACAAAAGAAACAAACAAACCATAAAAGCCTCATCCGTAATAAGATCGTCATTCTCAGAAGAGAACGGTGGGTCTGGTCCAGCTCTAAACTTGGTATCAATATCGGAATTCCTAAGCAATGCTAGATTAGAACTTATTCAATGAAGACATCAACATTTTACCATGCTATGCCTTTTGTGGAGAACGAGATATTGACAAAATTCGAATCGCTGCTTACAAACGTGATGCTATCATTCACTCCAATAGTATCTAAACTGTCTTCGTCAAACTAGAAAAACAAAGAAAAGAAACAAATGAACCATTGAAAAAGCTCCATGCAACCAATCCGCAAGGTATAACTAGCCTCGAGTCCAACTCACTGTCAATTTCAGAGCTCTAACCACTATTAGAGTCTTGGAAAATAAATGAGAACCAGAACGTACATTACTCCGATAGTTTGGTTGGATGTAATAGTGACCATCAAGAGACATATTAGTACTAGTATTAAAAGCATAAGGCCCTAAGCATGTTAGAAACGGAAAGAAAAAAAAAGGTAACGAGTCTTACCAGGGGCGCATTGTCTCTTAAGAGAAGAAACTTTAACTATGTCTCCGTGAAGTTGTTGGTCGCTTCTACTGGCAACATAACGCCTATTCTTTGGTTACTATAGATATGAAAGAGAGGCACTGACAACTTGCCGATGATTCTGATAGAAATTATTCAACTTATAGTACAGAAAAACCGGCGCTGCCATTCTTTGTGTCACATCTATTGAGACAGAACAAGTTTTTGAGAAATTGGGCTGTGCAATTTCATCTCCAACGTCACAATCAGGGATATTATCATAACGTTTCGAATAGCGAATAACCTAGTTTTGTAAAAAAAAATAAAATAAAGCGACTTTCTTTCTTACTCTATTCGAATATCCGAGTATGATACCACCAATAATAACACACACGAGACCTCCTAAAAAGAGAGTTGAAATAACCCATCCCGGTGTCAATATTGGTTGCCAAGCGCGAAGTTTTTGTTGTTTGAAGTTGGTAACTACGAGATATTTCCCTGAGCCGAAGTTTCCTCTAAAAATTCTACTTACGATACCGCTTTGAGCCTCTCTCTCCTACTCTATCTTGTGAACGTGTCGTCACGTGACCTGAAACGTCTTGACCTGGCTCAGTTCCGGGAACGTTGTTGGTCTTCTTTGCGTCCTCGTTGTCTCCTTTAGAAGCCATTCCTTATTCACCCAAATGATAATTGAGTCTTTTTGTTGGGCATTCTCCTTATGTCACAAAGAGAGACTGCAACCAACCAACAGCCTTTTCTTGGAGTTCCCTCTTCTCAGTCTGCTGGAGGTATACCTTATCTGAAGTCTTTTTTAGTTGTTGTTGTTGCTATCCTGATAACTTCCATCATATCTTGGCAACACGCAAAAATAGTCCAGAAAGGGACGCAATCACACGTTTCTTTCCCATGTGGAAGTTTCTCTGTAGTTTCCTTCCCATTCGTGTTACGTTCGACAAGAGTCGTTACTGAAAATGGTACTGTTTTTTCTTCATCCCTTTTGCATCTAATATTTTGTGTCGAGGTACTTTTCCTGCGTCCATATTTGTAGATCGGAATGGTCTTATTTCTAGAGTGGTTCCAGGTTTGGTTGAAGACTCGAGTTGGGGTTGCTTACATGATGTTGGAGAGTAAGAATTATATCTTCAAGTGGTATCTTCTTAATTTTGTGATGGGTTAGTTTGGTAATTATGCCTGGACTGATTGATCCTCACGTTCACGTCAACGAACCAGGGTAACAACAATCTTCACCAGTTTTATTATTCTGATTATTTTGTTAGAACTAAATCCGAAGGATTTAACACTGCAACACTTGCTGCGGCTGCTGGAGGTACTACGCTCATTTTCGATATGCCCCTGAACAGTCATCCAGCTTGCACAACTTATGAGTCTATTTTGGAGAAGCGCAGAATTGCCAATTCTAGACAGCTGTGGGTAGATGTTGGGCTCATTGGTGGTATGATTTCTGGAAACCTTGAAACTTTGAGTGATCAGGTTTGCCTTTCATGTTCGAAGTAAGATGAGCAAATTATGACCAATTTGTTTCAGATATTCCGAGCTGGTGTAGTTGCGCTTAAGAGCTTTACTATTGACTCACAGGCATATGATTTCCCCCCAGTCTCTATTCAAGAAGCTGAACAAGTTATGCGTGCTTTAAGAAATCTGTCTATTGATGGCGAGATAAGATACATGATACATGCTGAGCTTGCTTCGTCAAAGTTTTCACCAAACAACTATGAGGGACCCTCCATGAGTTATATGGCTTTTATGAGGTCACGCCCAGACTCTTTTGAGGTTATAGCATTGAAGTTGTTTTTCAACTTGCAATAACACCCATTTAGGTAAATGCAGTCCAAGCATTAATCGAACTTAGCCGTAAGACCCATTGTCCAGTGTATATTGTTCATATCTCGTCGGCAGATGCAGCTGAACTAGTAAAGCAAGCAAAAGAAGAGGGCATACAGATTTTTGCCGAAACTTGTACGCAATATTTGGCATTTGCTGCAGATGATATTCCGGATGGTCATCCAGAGTTTAAGTGTGTTCCTCCTATTCGTCCCAACGGGAATCGAAAACGTTTACTACGTTATCTATTGCAAGATAATCTTTTTGACCTAATAGCAAGCGATCATGCTCCAGCGACTCCCGAAGAAAAGTGTCTCGAGCAAGGAAATGTACGAATGGCATATGCAGGTATTTCTGGCTTACAAGTATGTGCTTATGAACTTGTGTTTTTTCGAGTTTTTTAAGTGTCAACATAGTATAGACTACCCGCAGTCTGGACTGCACTTAGATCTTATGGTGTCACTTTTGAGCAACTCTCCTACTGGCTTAGTCTATCAGCTGCTCGAATATTCCATGTTGATGATAGAAAGGGTCGTATAGCATCAGGTATGGAAGCAGATTTTGTAATATGGGATCCTGAGTCATTGGTCAACATTACGGAGAATTGGTGTTTTCATAGACATAAAAAGTCTGCTTTCCTAGGAAAACAATATTACGGAGAAGTAAGTCTATTGTGCTCTATGGACAATTCGGTAGTAATTAACAAAATCAGGTTAAGGAAACTTTTCTTCGTGGCTCGAGAATTTTCAAAAGTGACGCAGAACGAGGCAAGCTAGGAACTGTCCTCCAATACCCTCGAGGAATAATTATTAGAAACAGACTTGTAGAAGAATAGTATCTTTTTAAGATACTGTGAATTTATGCATATCTAAACCAGGATATCCTTCCTTTTGATTTTCAAAGTATCGGAGAAAAGGTTTAGACTGAACAAATACGAAATGAAATCAATACAGGAAGAACTCGTGAACTCATTTCTTAAAAAACTAGCAAAATGGTTGATTTTTCCAAGTGAGCAACTATATGGACAGTTTAGTTGAAGTGGGTATATAGTTGGAAAAGAGTCATCAACGAAAACTGTGTTACTAACAGTTCTGGTTTGCTCTGTCCGGTCAAAACTGTCAGCGGCTCATTGTTCTTGATCAGAACTGTGAACTCGAAACAGTTGGTTCGTGACTGCAACAACTGCTGGGTCGCTTCCAAGTTGCTCCACTTTCTTTCTCGTTTCACTGCACGCCCTGTCTTTTGTAGGTAAAGCAACATATACCAAAAAAGCTTCAATAATTCGACAATTGCTAGCTTTGGAAAAGTGCAAGTCGTCATTCAGTTCTATTTGAGCAGTAGCGACTCCTCAGCCTCGATTTTTTCTATTCACTTCAGAGACCAGTTTAAGATACGTATGAAGACCCTACCTGCCTTATTGGAGATAACCAGTTTCGGAAAGTTCACCTACAATTACTGGATCATATTTTGAGTGACGCTTCCCACAAGCAGAATTTTATTTAGTGTCGATGCTTTTCAACACCTTCAAAAAATGAACCAGTCCAATAAATATATTTGGGTTGTCAAAACAGTAACTAAGTGAACGTACTGTAATGTCTTCGAGAAGTTTCACTCATACACGGTGTTGATTATTCAGTTTTCTCACAAAAAATGAAAAGAATTCATTCCAATTTATCTACGCAAGGCTTCACTTACAACAAGTAACATGAATACGTTGAAAACCGACTCCAAAACTGGAAACTCATTGTAGAAAATATTCAATTGGTCATCTGGAGTTTGAGTTGGATCTATCTATGCCAACAGAGCAGCTTCAGTTTGTGCGGTTAGGAAGTACTTCTTTTCTTCTTTTTTGCGAGCCTCTCTATTCCTGTACCCGTTTGTTTTGGATTGCTATGATGACAGTACGAATAACTGGTTTCCTGTAAACTTAAATGCTACAACAACGTTGAAAAGAAGACTAGCTCTTATTTCAAAGGCTCAAAAGTCTCATGTTTTTGGGATTGTTGTCAGTGCTATTGCTACAAAGGGTGTATTAGATGCAATAGAGCGCTGTGAAGTGGTAAGTTTTGTTTTCTATTCGACAACAGGCAACATTCAGCTAGAGAGACCAAGTTCTTCAATCTTTGTTTCTCCCGTTCCCGTTGCCAACATGAAGTTGTCGAAACCACGAAGATTCTCAGTTTGATTGACTTATCTTCACTAAGATCGACGGACACAAGTTATGTTTTGAAATATTTTTGCTAACTCAATTTTTTTCTATAGTTGTTGAACCAGTTTGAAA